GAGCATCATCAGCATCAGTTGGCCCCTTGCTGTGCGTGGGGGGGGCCGACAAGGCGAGCATCATCAGCATCAGTTGGCCCCTTGCTGTGCGTGGGGGCCCGACAAGGCGAGCATCATCAGCATCAGTTGGCCCCTTGCTGTGCGTGGGGGGCCGACAAGGCGAGCATCATCAGCATCAGTTGGCCCCTTGCTTGGCGTGAGGCCCGACGAGGCGAGCATCATCAGCATCAGTTGGCCCCTTGCTGTGCGTGGGGGGCAGACAAGGCGAGCATCATCAGCATCAGTTGGCCCCTAGCTGTGCGTGGGGGGGGCCGACAAGGCGAGCAGCATCAGCATCAGTTGGCCCTTTGCTGTGCGTGGGGGGCCGACAAGGCGAGCATCATCAGCATCAGTTGGCCCCTTGCTTGGCGTGAGGCCCGACGAGGCGAGCATCATCAGCATCAGTTGGCCCCTTGCTGTGCATGGGGGGCCGACAAGGCGAGCATCATCAGCATCAGTTGGCCCCTTGGCGTGAGGCCCGACGAGGCGAGCATCATCAGCATCAGTTGGCCCCTTGCTGTGCGTGGGGGGCCGACAAGGCGAGCATCATCAGCATCAGTTGGCCCCTTGCTGTGCGTGGGGAGCCGACGAGGCGAGCATCATCAGCATCAGTTGGCCCCTTGCTTGGCGTGAGGCCCGACGAGGCGAGCATCATCAGCATCAGTTGGCCCCTTGCTGTGCATGGGGGGGCCGACAAGGCGAGCATCATCAGCATCAGTTGGCCCCTTGGTGTGAGGCCCGACGAGGCGAGCATCATCAGCATCAGTTGGCCCCTTGCTGGTGCGTGGGGGGCCGACAAGGCGAGCATCATCAGCATCAGTTGGCCCCTTGCTTGGCGTGAGGCCCGACGAGGCGAGCATCATCAGCATCAGTTGGCCCTTGCTGTGCGGCGACAAGGCGAGCATCATCAGCATCAGTTGGGCCCTTGCTTCGCGTGAGGCCCGACGAGGCGAGCATCATCAGCTCAGTTGGCCCCTTGCTGTGCGTGGGGGGCCGACAAGGCGAGCATCATCAGCATCATCCCTTGCTGTGCGTGGGGGGGCCGCCAAGGCTTGCATCTTGGCCCCTTGCGTGAGGCCCGACGAGGCGAGCATCATCAGCATCAGTTGGCCCTTGCTGTGCGTGGGGCCCGACAAGGCGAGCATCATCAGCATCCCCTTGCTGCGTGGGGGGGGCCGACAAGGCGAGCATCATCAGTCAGGGGGCCCCTTGCTGTGCGTGGGGGACGACCAGGCGAGCATCATCAGCATCAGTTGGCCCCTTGCTGTGCGTGGGGGGCCGACAAGGCGAGCATCATCAGCATCAGTTGGCCCCTTGCTTGGCGTGAGGCCCGACGAGGCGAGCATCATCAGCATCAGTTGGCCCCTTGCTGTGCGTGGGGGCCCGACAAGGCGAGCATCATCAGCATCAGTTGGCCCCTTGCTGTGCGTGGGGGGGGCCGACAAGGCGAGCATCATCAGCATCAGTTGGCCCCTTGCTGTGCGTGGGGGCCCGACAAGGCGAGCATCATCAGCATCAGTTGGCCCCTTGCTTGGCGTGAGGCCCGACGAGGCGAGCATCATCAGCATCAGTTGGCCCCTTGCTGTGCGTGGGGGGTCGACAAGGCGAGCATCATCAGCATCAGTTGGCCCCTTGCTTGGCGTGACGCCCGACGAGGCGAGCATCATCAGCATCAGTTGGCCCCTTGCTGTGCGTGGGGGGCCGACAAGGCGAGCATCATCAGCATCAGTTGGCCCCTTGCTGTGCGTGAGGCCCGACAAGTGCGTGGGGGGCCGACAAGGCGAGCATCATCAGCATCAGTTGGCCCCTTGCTTTGGCGTGAGGCCCGACGAGGCGAGCATCATCAGCATCAGTTGGCCCGTTGCTGTGCGTGGGGGGCCGACAAGGCGAGCATCATCAGCATCAGTTGGCCCCTTGCTTGGCGTGAGGCCCGACGAGGCGAGCATCATCAGCATCAGTTGGCCTGTTGCTGTGCGTGGGGGGCCGACAAGGCGAGCATCATCAGCATCAGTTGGGCCCTTGCTTGGCGTGAGGCCCGACGAGGCGAGCATCATCAGCATCAGTTGGCCCGTTGCTGTGCGTGGGGGGCCGACAAGGCGAGCATCATCAGCATCAGTTGGGCCCTTGCTTGGCGTGAGGCCCAACGAGGCGAGCATCATCAGCATCAGTTGGCCCGTTGCTGTGCGTGGGGGGCCGACAAGGCGAGCATCATCAGCATCAGTGGGGCCCTTGCTTGGCGTGAGGCCCGACGAGGCGAGCATCATCAGCATCAGTTGGCCCCTTGCTGTGCGTGGGGGGCCGACAAGGCGAGCATCATCAGCATCAGTTGGCCCCTTGCTTGGCGTGAGGCCCGACGAGGCGAGCATCATCAGCATCAGTTGGCCCGTTGCTGTGCATGGGGGGCCGACAAGGCGAGCATCATCAGCATCAGTTGGGCCCTTGCTTGGCGTGAGGCCCGACGAGGCGTTGCTGTGCGTGGGGGGCCGACAAGGCGAGCATCATCAGCATCAGTGGGGCCCTTGCTTGGCGTGAGGCCCGACGAGGCGAGCATCATCAGCATCATTTGGCCCGTTGCTGTGCGTGGGGGGCCGACAAGGCGAGCATCATCAGCATCAGTTGGGCCCTTGCCTTGGCGTGAGGCCCGACGAGGCGAGCATCATCAGCATCAGTTGGCCCGTTGCTGTGCATGGGGGGCCGACAAGGCGAACATCATCAGCATCAGTTGGGCCCTTGCTTTGCGTGAGGCCCGACGAGGCGAGCATCATCAGCATCAATTGGCCCCTTGCTGTGCGTGGGGGGCCGACAAGGCGAGCATCAGCAGCATCAGTTGGCCCCTTGCTGTGCGTGGGGGCCCGACGAGGCGAGCATCATCAGCATCATTTGGCCCGTTGCTGTGCGTGGGGGGCCGACAAGGCGAGCATCATCAGCATCAGTTGGGCCCTTGCTTGGCGTGAGGCCCGACGAGGCGAGCATCATCAGCATCAGTTGGCCCGTTGCTGTGCATGGGGGGCCGAGCGAGCATCATCAGCATCAGTTGGGCCCTTGCTTGGCGTGAGGCCCGACGAGGCGAGCATCATCAGCATCAGTTGGCCCCTTGCTGGGTGTGAGGGGCCCGACCAGGCGATCTCATCAGCATCAGTTGGCCCCTCTGCCGAAGCAGCCATCGAGCCATAGCAACAAATACGCCAAAGAGACGCAAGCCGCTTGGACAAAACAGAAAAAGTGCGGCTCCCAACCAAAAGTGCACATGAAAGCGTGACAAACAAAAAGCCGGCGAGCCACGTTAGGAAGACTACAGAATCGAACCAGAAGGAGATACAGTGCAAGCAAAACGACAAGCGCGCCCCACCATCTACCTTGCAGTCCGTCAGGGGGCCCCTCGCGCCTCGCTCTGGCCGTCGTAGCTTGCCTGGCCAGGCTCGGCGCTGGAAATCTGCGGCCTGGTGAGAGTGTCACTTGGAAGGCATTGCAGACCGGGATGGACTGCTAAAAGCAGGTCAGGCTTAGGGATTCGGGGCAGTTCCTCCGTGAAGATTGCTTTTGCAGGCCCTCCATAACGAGAAGAAGGCCATTCGGCAATCTGTTGAGGCCCAGCTGCAAAGCCTCGAGCTGCTTCAGATTCCTGGTTGTCCGCAGATCTTGCGGATCAGATGAGAATTAGGGTTTTCCAGATGCTCATCCCTAGCAGAGCTCACGCCTGAGTCTTTTGGACACGTTTCCGAGGACCTCTCGCTGAAGGCCACCAGATTTACCCGAGCTGGTCATGCAGCACACTTGGTGGATGGAGCTGCCATGCATGTCACGTGTGCAAGGTTGCAAGGGGCACCGCCTCAGACATAGGCAGTTAGGCTTCAGATTCCTCTCAGATGAGAATTAGGGTTTCCTTGGTGTGCATCATGGCGGGACGCATGTCATCTTGACCAACTGCAAACTTCGGATCCCAACTCGCAACCAGCTTGTCATGATCATCCGGATTCGACACGCTTCAACAAGATGACTTCCCTGCGATTGTCCGGCTTCTGGATGAGCCGACTGCATGACAAAGGATTGGAATTAAAAATCTGCTTCAGACACTGGGCATTCTCTGCAGATCCGGAGGATCAGATGAGAATTAGGGTTGCCATGAGTCATCAGTGCAGCAATCATCTTCGCAAGGCGACCAACACCACATGGAGGTCAGCTTTTGGGGCCTTGCGCTCGACAATGATGCTCGGGTCCAACACAAATGCACAGGCAGAAGCGCACAACGCCGATCTGGAAGCACAGCCACGCAGCCCAAGAATGCCGGGATCAGCCAGGCGAGGTGCTTTGATCAGAAAGCAGATCGGCAGGTGAACCCGCCACCCCCCTCCGCCCCCCCACCAACCAAACTTGAACTGTCTGCCTTGAAGAGGCGGCTGCTGGAAACCTGATCTGGACGTCCTGACAAGTTTCGGAGCTGAACTCGCAAAAATGGCAGAGGGGCTGCTTCCAGGGTCTCAAGCTCAGGCGAGAACAGCCGCGAACCAAGACCCAAAGGCGTCAGTTTTGCATCGGAATTTCTCATTGGTGAAAGTCTCGCGGTCTGTCAGGTCATCTCAGTGCCACCTGTATCTCGGCCGGAAGTCTGTTTCAAACCAAGCGGCCTGGTATCTCCGAAAGCAGGCCAGCTTCCACTATACAAGCAGAGGCAGGAAACCGATGGACAGACTGACTCACAGACTTCCAAAACTGTGCTCACGCTGATGAAGCGAGCTTGTCAGCAAAAATAAGGCTTGGTTGGCATGTAAGGCCACTAGGGCCCATAAGGCCGCTAGATCGGAACCCTATGCTTCCTAAATTTAGCTGAGCTAGGCCCTGATAAGCCTCACATGACTCACATGCCTTGTCCGTTAGCCTGTAGCCTAATGTAGCCTAACGCAGCCTACATATACAGCATTTGTCCGCCGCGAACGTAGAGCCTCATAGAGCTCCCGGTAGCATCACATCGGCACTTCGGAGGTGTTGAACACGGCAGACTGCGAATACCTGGACAAAAGGCTAAGGCTTGAAGCTGCAGTGCTGAAGCCGGCAAGCACTTCTTACAATGCGTGGGCAAGCTCTTCCTGAAACAGCTCGTTGCGAGCGGGATGCTCTCGCAGCTGCTGCATGGTTTGCTTCAGGCGCTCTTGCTTGGCGGGCGCCGCCTGGCAGCTTCCGACCCCTATGGTATCCTAGCCTGCCTTCTGCTTGCGCCACTTTGCCCCGTGCTGCGCCTCCAGTTTTGCCCGCTCCGTCTTCAGCTCTTCCGCAACTTGTGGGAAATAGACCGCCTCAACGGGAGCCACCCGACGGGTTGCTGAGATGGCTCATGAACAGTTGCTTTAAAGGCACCTAGGCACGCTGCGCTGTTCTATGACATGTGTGACATGATTTTGCAATCTTTGGAAGATAGGGAATTGGGGCGACGAGTATCTTCAGAGAATCCCTGGAGTGCCCAGCCCCGAGATTTCAGAAAAATCCCTGGAGTGCCTAACCCTAGAGTATCCCCGGAGAATCCCCGGAGTGCTCAACCCCAAGTATCCACAGAATTCCTGGAGTGCCCAAGCCAGAGTATTTATAGATTTTCCCTGGAGTGCACAGCCCCATCGTGAGCCCGCAAATTCTTTACCTGCAGGGTGGGGATGTTCGAAGTAAAAATATGTTTAGAGAGAGGGGTTTTGGTTGTTCAACCAAGGGGGGTATGTACATACATATATACACATACATACATATACATACAAAGGAATAAAAAAAATCATAAATAAACAAGCAAACAAATAAAATAAAAAAAACAACCTGCAGTTCCAGCCTCCATGCGGGAGCGGATGACGTCGTCAATGTGGCGAGGCTTCGCCGCAGCCAGAACATCCTCGCTGCCTTGCGCGAATAAAGGCTTGTGAGCTGGATCTTTTGCAGCCGCGTGCATCATGCCTAGCGCATAGCCCGCGTTCGAACAAAGGACGCCCGCTTTCTATCGCGTCCGGCCTGGTGGAACCATCTGCAAGTCTGGCCTCGTGCCGCCTGGGCCTGTGATAGCCCAGCTGGCCGGCGCAGCAATTCCCACCATGAGGCCAGCCAACACTGCCATCAGGATAGCGCCAGACTCACTTGGAGGCTCTGGCCTCTCGACCTTGTTGGCCTGTCTGTGTGGTGTGGAAACAAGTGGCGAAGGTGGCGAAGGTGGCAGGACGAAAGCATCAGCCACTGCCCGCGCCACTGCAAAGACGAGCACACAGCAGAGCATGGCTAACCTAGAGGAAGCCATGCTGCTACAAGTAGCCAGCGTGGTGTAGGTTGGTCAGGACTGCCGTAAGTGCTGCCAAGCAGGAGTGCACCTTGCACCTCTAGCATGACTGCAAAAAGATGCATCTGCAGTGCTCTAAATCGCACTCTTGGACGAGCTGTCTTGAAAGCGAAGCGCTGATGGACTGACCTTCTGCATGCTGCATACTGCATGCTGCAAGCATGCACAACGGCAAGCAGTCTTTGGATGTCTTTAGTTCCGACATCCATCACGTTGACATGCCTTGATCATCAACCGAGCATTCATAGCTCGTTAAAGGATGAGTTATGAACCTCCGAAGAATCTAGGTCTAAAGGCCTGACACAAAACCGAGATGGGATGATGTGGGGGTACACGCCAACCAGCGAAGCCCTCCTCGAGCGTGATGCTCGTGTCTGTCAGCTCCAGTTCTACGACGATCTGCGTGCCATCCTTGCTCAGAGCATGCTTGTTCTTTCACAGGAATGCTGGTCGATCCTAGGAGCAACTGCACGCATCCCCTTTTCGGAAGTTCACGCGATTCGACGCCGTTTTCAAGAGCTCTGCTGTGCACCCCTCCGGCACACCCTTGACGCTGGGGATCACACCGCTGTAGTGGAGGGCCAGCAGCTGATCTGCCTGCGCTGATGGACTCTCCACTCCAAACAGGAAGCCAGTTGGCACACAGATGGCAAAGTGTGACACCCAACCTCCAGGCAAATCTGAGCTCAGCACACAGGCAAGAAATCCTCGTTGCTGCTTTTGAACCTCTGTCACATGCTGCATCATACTTGCACCATTGCTTGACAAAGTCATGGGATCATGATCACGCACTGCAGGACCGGAATCGTGCACTGAAGCGCGGATTCGCGCACAGCGGATTCATGCACTCCAACCCGCAGATTCCCGCACAGTGTGATTCCCGCACTGTTATTCACGCACTCACGCGGCGGATTCGCACACAAGCCGACTAACGGCAGATTCGCGCACGGATGATTTGCGGAAACAGCGGATTCGCGCACATAGGAAATCAGCCATTTTCAAAACCCCTGAACCCTAATGCCGACATAACCCAAACCACATGAGCACTTAACCCTAAGCCCGAAACCAGAAACATTCTAAATAGCAAACCCTAAGCACGAAAACACCTAAGGCCTAAATTCAAAACCCAAAAAATCCTTCTGAAGCAAAGCCCAAAGCCCCGAAAACCCTTGACCATGAGAACCCTCAGCCCTGAAAAGCTTCCACAAAAGTTTTCCTCATGAGCTTGGCCTGTGGATGATTTGTGGCTTGTGAGTCTTTCACGTCAGCCTTGACGTGCGACTTGTCTACTGGCTGCTCCATGCTCTGCACCCCGCTCTGTTGCCAGGTGGTGTTCTGAGGGGTTCGCACTCTCCAGGCTCTTCTGCAATCAAATCCGCATCGCAGCCCTTGCTTCACGTGCTTGCCAACAACCGGCCTGCACTTGTCGTAGCTGATCTCGTGACTTGTGATTTTTCCAGTGCTTCTCGGTTCTGCTGCCACGTCTTCCGCTCCAATTGGAGAGCCACCTCACGCAGCCTCTCGATGGCACTGGCCGTGGGACGTGGAGGTCGAAGGATGTGGAGCGTGGGAGACGGGGATGTGAACGCAAAAGTCCTATACCTTAAATGCCCACGACTCATACCATTCCCAAAGCCCTAAGCTCTGTAAATCTCAGAAGGCCTAAATCCCAAAATAGCCCAAAACCCTCTAAACCTTATAAGTTATAAGCCCCAAAAGCCCTAAGCCCGTAAAGTTTACTCTCCTAAACCCTACAGTCAAAACCATGTAAACCCCAAGCCCAAAAGAACTCAAACACCAAAACGCGCCAAGCCCTAAGAGCCCTAAAAGCCCGGCCAACTCTGCGGTTCAGCTGTCTGATTCTGGTCGTCTGCAAGCTGAGCCCCCGACTGCCACTTCACCAGCGGAACCGGCGCGTTCGCCCGGTATGCGCGTGAGGCCTCGCGAACCTCGAGGACGTTGTTCGCATGCGACCTGGGCCCACTCGACACGTCACTGGCTGTGGAACGCAACATGTAAGTCTGAGGCAACGAAAGCAAAAACAACGCCTACATGGTTTGTAGGTTTCTAAAGCATACAGTCAAACTGCCGAGTGTTTAATAAGTTCTTTTGTGTGTGTGTGTGCGTGTGAATGTGTGCATGTGTGTCTTGAGGCAAACAAACGGTTGAAACTCGTTGCATCGCTGGTCGGATTCAAGCAGGTTACTTATGGCACTTTTTGGCGCAACGTGGATGAAGGGGCAGCAAAAAGGCGCCTGCATCTCGCCCTACTGAGCCTACTACCCAGCTTTGCACAAATTACCAACCCCTGCGGCTGAACTCATTGAAGACGTACCCATAGCATCCCAGAATCTGAAAGGTGAAGCTGTTCAGCTTGCATACCGAACTCATGGGCTGTCGGGTGCTTTGGCTTAGACTTTGAAGCAGCATCCCGAGGGGAGGACGTCTTGTTCAGGTTCGGATGAATCTGCACAGTGCACAGGCAACCGGTCCATTCAGGGCTATTCGGTCAGAATCGCTGTGCCTGTTCGGACTGTGGGGTGATGAGGTTTGGGGTTCGGGGACAGGGGGTCAGGCCAGGGGCATCTTCACGCCCGAACTGCCCGGCCTTGTACCTGAACTCCTGGTTCTGCGGTGCCAACCTCTCGCAGCCGAGCGGACTGAAACTGTACCGGCTCCGCCACAAGCGGGAAACACATACCGGAAACATGGCGTGCCAACCCCAACTCGAGCCTGAAGGCAGCGAGGTCAGCCTTCGAGGCATCAAGCACCGTCACCTCTGCGGATCGAGGCTGACAGGCACAAGAGTGGTACAAGTAAGAGCCATGAACCTCAAAGGGCCACCTTGGGGAGCCCGAAAACCCACGCAAGCCCAGGCCACACGAAGCTCAGGCAGCTCCAGTCAAGGCAACATCTGCCTGGAACTGGCCAGTGCAAACGGCTTCGCCCTCCAACCTGACGATTCAACGAGCAGCTCGCACACTCCTGGTCAACAACTCTTTGAGGGCGCGTGAATCTATGGAAGTGGAAAGTGGCATAATGGGACCTCGAGACCTCGAGCTACTCCCTTTGGACTCTGCAAGCTACCAAACTCACAAGTGAGAAGGGATAGGGGGCGCACCCGCCCTCCACTTGCAGGTCCGCCGTTATCTTCTCCTTTGCGATGCTCATGCAGGGGGGTCCCATGTGGGGTGTCGGTATGGTAGGGCATGCTGGTGTTAGCCGGCTGCAGCTGAGATCCAAAAAAAGAGAGAGAAAGGCGTGGCTAGACTTAGACGTGGAGACATAGCTCTCGCAGCTTATCCCATGGCAGGGCTTCTTTAAAGATCCCTGGAAGCCCCGTGGAAGAGTCGACCCCTGGAGCCGAGCTCCCACCTCGATGTCCACTCTAACGGGATCCATCCTGAGACGACGCTCCGCGCTCCGCGGTGTGCTGATGTGCTCTATGACAGTCTATACTTCTATGAGTTCAATTGGGATTCCATGACCTGCTGGATTGAGAACGCCCTAGAAAGGCTTGACAACCTGTGCTGACAAGCAGGCCCATGGGCTGAGGGCTGGGCAAAGGATTGTATGCCGGAGCGGCCTGAGCTGGCAACAGGCACCAAGCATCGCGTGGATGAGGGGGGCGGACTTTCTTAGGTTCGGCCTCGAGGAAATGTTCTGGGACTGTGGAACATTGGGAACTGAATCCCGACCCATTCACCTCAACTCTCGCGCCGCTGCTGTCCGTGCTGCTGCCACTGCTGGCGGTACTGCTACTGAACCAGCTTCGTGGCTGGGCTCCCCTCAAAACCTATACCTCAGGTATTGTCGGGGGAATTCTAGGGTGTGTTGCGCATGAACGTTCAGAGCATCAAGCAAGGTATACGGAATCGGTCACGCGAATGCTTGCTGCTCCTGCATGTGCCCAATGCAGATGTTCGCAGTCGGGCCAAGAGGTGGACTACGGGAACGGCGTTAATCTTCAGGCGAACGGGGCACAGGTTGCGCGACTGGGACACTGTTGCTCTGCAGATCACGTTTCTGAGGCCCTGGCTGCAGGCTCTTCAGCCACCGCCTGCTTCACACTGAAGCAGAAATCATTCATTACCCATCGGTTAGCACCAGCGATTACAACCGCGAAAACTGGCTAAACCGCCACACTGCAAGCGTGCCCTTCTGGACTGAGAAACAAGAACCCGCCGGACAACAGCGAAACCATGCAAAACCCATCGGGGCCTCTACGGATGGCGTTGGCTCGGGAATGCCCATGCCTCATGGAGTGCTTGGCTTGGCTTTCAGAATGACCCCCCCGAAATCCTACCAACAAGATAGAACAAACTTGATTGCAAAATGATTTCTAATTTTGTGGCAATTATTTTTTATATTATATACATATATACTAGTAATTATTATTGGCACAGACCAGCTCAGACTTACGGCCCAGGGCGGTTCACGTTCCTCCTTTGGGCCCCCGCTGCCAAGCACGTCTGCGTTCTTCTTCTTCCCCAGCGCCTCAAGGGAGACAGCAGCCTATATGGGAACCCTACGAAGCTGTCGAAGGCTACTTGCGAATTCTTAGGTAACCAAAATGTTCTCTCTCGCGTCTATCTTCTGCTGCAAGGTTTTCTCAGAAGACTCTGAACATGCTGGCGAAGAATGGAAGGGTTGGGGCCCCGCGCCATGCCCTTCTTTGGTGCCCCGGGCTTGAGCGGCGCAGGCCCGGAGTCCTCTCCAACCCAAGACAGGGATGAATCTCAGGCCTTCTGAGGCCCTACAAAACACGTTGCGAAATATTGCGAAACACATGATACGTTACTCAAGTCGTTACTTAAAATCATTGCAACACAACTGCGCGGCTTACAGTGTCCTATGCCCATGGAGGCATGTCAGCTTCGGCTGGCGACTGGAGAAGCTGTGCTCTTGGTACCTCCTATGCCTGCTGCAGGTCCTCGACCATGGAACTCGACCAAGGCGCTGTGCTGTCATTGCCGAAGGAGGCACCTGCGAGGTCTTTGAGAGTTGGAACGAGGGTCTGCGCAGCCGTGGCTCGGGCCTTTGGGGCATGCTTCTGGCGAAGGGCTGCCCACAGCTGAGAACCGCACACTCAACTACCTAAACGACGAACAGCGAAACAAGCGAGCAAAATGTAGGAGTAGAGAATTTTGTCCACGACGACGGCACACTCGTAATGACAGATCCAAAGGGCGAGTGTGCTAATAGCTCCAATATGTAGCACAAGTTCAATTGTAAAGCTATCAGCATTGACCCCGAAGCCCGTTTACGAAAGGATTGACGTGGAATGCCAAACGTTGCTTCATCGCTTCTCACCTCCTCCCATCGATGGCATCGTGTCCTGGAAGGAGCTGCCTCCTTAACATGCAAACAGGGCGTCAAGCGGAGCCCTGGAGTTTATGGCCGCTGCTACCTGACCAATCAAACTCTGAGCTTCTGAGGTGCGCAGAAGGCCCTCTTCTTGCTGACCAACACGCCTAAATATCCAAAAGCCACAAGTAATGGCTTGCAAAGAAGTGGCCCATGCTGCTTGGACCGATTCCCGGCAGCGAGTCACCTTCAGATACGCAAGGGTTCGCTCGGCTTTCTAGCCTTCTACAGCATTTGCAAGCCCCGACCCTGGCTGACCATCCGGCAGCGAAAACTTTTACAACGGAGAGTCGCGCAGAGTTTCGCCGCATCCCGGGGCCCCGGCTGCCGAAACCGGGCCCTGCAGCATCCTTGGGCTGGAGAGCACGCTGCTTGGCCTCAGCTCTGGCCCCGAGAGGCTTTTGAAAAACTCCACCTTTTCTACATTCAGGTGTGGCAGCAAAGGAACAACGAGAAGGTGCGCAGCAAACGAGAGCCTAGCAAGCTCCATCTGCTTCTTCTTGGCCATTTCTCTGGCCTGCGCCAGTGCACGCAACTCAGCCTAAACCACCTAAACCACATGTCCGGTCGATGGCAACTACAGCTACAAACTTCAGAAGCCTCCACCTTCCTACAAAACGCGGTATTCCCAAGCCTCGTTTATCTTGCTCTGTTCCACCATCATGTGCCTGAGTACGACAGCCTACTTGCAGCATTCTCAGCGGCTGCTCGGACCATACTACTTTCCTTGCCATGCTCTCGTGACAGCGTTGCGCGGCTACGAAGTCTACGTTGGCCTGCATGATGTGCACGAAAGCGCGAGTCTAGAGCCTTTCTACTACTGATTCTGAGCTCCGTGCAGCCTCTCCTCGTGACTGTCCATCTCCGTGTAGGTCTTAATCTGGGACAGCGTAACCTCAGAGATCAGACGCTCGCAGATGCAGCAAGAGGGCACAGAAAAGCCTGAAAGGCCCGCATCTTTCAGGCGCGTGCGCTTTCGCGGTAGCCGAAGGAGATGACCTGCAACAGAGTGCGTGCACAGCATCCCCCCACCCGTTGGGGCATCACTGAGTGCCTTGCACTCCACCGCCCCACAGAATTACACGGCATCCCTGAAATGCCCACCAATAAGGTACCCCGCCAGAGCATTTGCCAGAAACGGCAGCCAGAAAACAAGAAGGCAATGTTGCACCTGCTTTCGTGCGCCGCCCCCTCCCCCCCCCAGCCCCCCTGAACAGTCGAAGCTGATCTTCGCCTTCTTTAAACGGTCCGGGGATTCTGAGTTTACGAAAGAAATTAAAAGGAATCCGTATGATTTCATAAGAGATGAGTTTTTATTTGACTTTAAAAGGGGTCCATATGGTTTTAAAAGGGATAAGATTGTATGAATTTAAAAGGAACCCATATGTTATAAGGGATAAGTTTACATGAGTGTATGTACATGGACCCAATTATTTTTCGATATCCAGAGCCCGTTTCCGGGACGTTAACGTGGGTCCGGGACAGTGCCCATCAAACGAGGTCGGGCTGGCTCCTGGACCACCCCTTTGCCGGATTGAGCAAGACATTTTTTTATACGGTTTCCCAAAGGGAACTCTTGGTTTCGGCTTTGTTGGGATTTCGGGCTTCGAAAGGAGGCTTGCCTTTAAGATTCAGAGGCCGGCCTGTCAGCCAAGAGGCCAGGGCATCGGTGTCAAGCTGGCTTCATAACAGGCCCTAATTCCTTCAAAAAAACATGCCGGATTTAGGGAACGATTCGACTTGAAACCGGATCCTGGCTTGCACCCCCAAACAGTCAGGGTGTCCAGAAAAGCCCGACCAACAAGACTTCATAGAGGGGCTATTAAACTGCGTGCAACAGTAACGAGGAGCAAAGAAGAGAATTCGGTTAATAAGTGTACGTAGCTCGTCCTTCTTTGACGCTCCACACCAAATCAAAGAAAGAAACAGCACGTGCATTCACTTCTATTCTACTTCTATTCCTTGCATTTCGCCCACAGCTTCGTTCGCACAGCATTCCTCGCATGCGAAGTCCCCAGCTCACGACTCCGAGGCGGTACGCGTTTTTGTAGCTGGAGAACAAAAAGCGCCGCGATCAGAAGGATGGGTGAGCTCAAGGAAGTAGGAAGTAGCTCAGCATCAGAAGGGAGGTGGGAGCTTTCTTGATCCTGTTGTGCTAGAGTAGCCCTGCAGTTCTTGATCTTGTTGTGCTAGAGTAGCCAAGCAGAGCCACCCACAGTATCCCTGCACCGTGCACCCGCGGAGTATCGCTCAGAGCATTGCGAACACCATCACAGTCTTTCACAAAACCTCGTGCCCCACAGGCGTAAACAGTTGGCTCATGCCAATTCCGTCTATCTGCATTTCTTTGCATCTTTTTGCACCTGTTTACATCTAGTCTGCCCACGATTAAGGCTTCCTAGCAATGCCGGCTTTGCGCATTGAACCTATGCTGACCTAGAGTGTCCAGGGCCCAGGGTTTCATTGACTCACCCGGTCTAGTGCATGATTGGGCTCCGCCTCGTCGAAAGCGAAGACAATGTCAAATGCGTGTTTCAGCACCTCAGCTCTGCAGGGAATTTGAGTCGAGCCCCGAATGGAAAGACATGCGATCTGCACACGTTTGCTCCACCATCCCTAAACCCTACACCCTAAACCCTAAACCCTAGACCCTAGACCCTAGACCATAAACCCTAAACCCTAAACCATTTCCCCGTTCTTCCCCTCGCAAGCCCTCTGTGCAGCTGGGAGACGTTCTCCTCAGAGACCTGGATCTCGCAGCAGTCCTGCACCACCTGAGGCCGCCAGAGGGCATTCGAGAGGGTCTAGAGCCTTCAAGAGTCTTCAGAAATCAGCTGCGGCGTTTTGTGCTTTCAAAGCGCGACTGAAGCCACGCGACCCCGAAATGGAGAAATGGCCCTAGAACTTAAACCTGGCCTGGGAAGTTGCATCGAGTACTTGGAACTGGGGAATCCATTTTGCCCCTTTTTGCTTGGGGCAGTGCCTTGGCCAGCAGCCGCAGAGTTTCCAAGTCCTGCCGACATGGTTTTGACGCCCTTGTCGTTTCGATGTGGCGTGGGCATCGCAGGCTGTGTGGGGTGAATACAAGGGATGGGCTTCAAGATTTTTACGACTTGATGCACCTCTTCCAAAATCTCTGTGCTCAACCATGCACCAATCACATGTAGCTACATTACAGATTGAACTCGGCGAGCTCCTAGGACGATAAGCTTAGCCCTAAGCCTTCCGGATCACAACGGCTCCCCCGTGTTCGCTCCTCCAGGATGTTGCTGGCCTTGTTTGTGATGACGACGAGGTTGAGAGCCTCCATGGGTTGGTATACGTAGCGGACTGACCTCGGGCACATCTTGGGCGCAAGGAAGGCTTGAGCTCGGGTTGTGCGCAGATCTCCCTCCCACAATCTAGTAGCGGTCGCCAAAGTAACAGTTCACAACTGCTTTCAGTAGCAGAGGCATGCCCACGCTGCTTCCGAGGAGGCCAGTTCCTAGCACACCCTGCTCGATGCGAAGTGTGAAGACTGTGCAGCTCAAGTCAGAATAAAACTGGCTCAAGAGAGCAAGTGTTCAATAGAAGCATCGGCTTCTATGGGCTTGGTGAGTTTGATGGGTTTGCCATGAGCGCAGCAGCACTCAGGCGCCCACTCCGTCTCGACCTGGTGACGGCAACTTCACGATGACTTGGCAGGGGGGGCCTAAACTGCCTCAATAACTTTCAAGACGGCTCAAGACCAGGGGCCCCGGACGAAGGTGTGGTCCTTGCCGCTGTCGACCAGCTTGGTGAAAGCACCCAGCAAGCCCTCACCGGGGAGAGACTGCACACGAACCAGCCCAAAATCCCGAACAAGGTGTGCTGCCTCGATCCGGAGCCGGGTCATCTCCACAAATTGCCCTGGCACATTAGGCATTGCGAGACGGCACTGTGGCAGCCGTAGCCATAGACCTCTGGTGCCTTAAACCTGGTCAGGAGGGGGTTGAGGCTTCAAGCTCCGGACCGCACTCTGTGGCATCCAAAGGTCACTCTGGAACCCGACATGGCTGGCTCACGCGCTACCAATGTCTTATCCTTCTTCACGATGGCAGCTGATAGCACCACCATGGTAACCTGCGGAGCCGCATTGCGAAAGAGCGTAGTGCGTGCCGCTTTAAACCACGGGAGGTTGAGAAGTTTGTACCGCAAGGTCGCGCACAACTCCCTAGGCTCTGCCCTCAACCAAGCTTGCTCTGTAGACTGCCATGCTAAAGAGCCATCGCTGTCAAAGCTTTCCTGGAACAAAACCCGCAGTAACGAGCAGCAGTTGTGCAGGAACTGTGATGGTGCTTGGCGTGGGCCCGCCTACGTGGCACGAGGGCCTGGCAATGTCAGCGTTGAATTTCTGCATGGGCATGCTGTGGTGCAACAACGAAGCTAAAGCTTCCCACTGACCGTTTCGTGCTGTTCTTCTTCTATGCGGTGTGACCTTCCTAATTGATCACAGTGCAATTGCTGCCTACACTACCACCACTACCACTTCTACCACCAGTACGACCACCACCCCGACCACTACCACTGTCGCTACCACGATCACTGTTTCCTCCGCAGCCCCTGCCACGGCCACTAGCACCATTATCCTCACGATGGCGATTCCATCTGATTGAATCACGACTCTATACCGGGACGCCATGTCTTGGGCCAGGCCTGCGCCTGCAGCGCGCGGCGACCCCTGCGCCCAAGAAGCTGCCCCGTTACGGGTCTGAGAGCCAAGCGGGCCACAGAGAAGCCAAGGTTTCGTGCCTAGGGCTCAATAGGCGTCGAGGCTCTCCTGCTAATGCAGGTCCATCCAAGGCGTAGGGCTCCTACATGAGGCACAGCCTGAACTTGAACTGACACATGTACGTCGCACGCGCAACAACCACAGGCAAAGTTTGCCAAAACTTTAATACTCACAATGATTCCCTTTTGTGAGCTTTTCGAGCACTATGTCAATGCATAGGAGGTGGCACTTTGTCCACAAACGCGTCCCAGAACGGCTGAGCATACAAACAAACATCTGCGCATGCAGATGCGAACAATGCATTGTTTCACTACATAGCACACCACTGCGCATCACAACAACACGAAGGATTCAGCCTTCTTCCTGGAAAAGCAAAGGTCATTAACCACATTTTCGCAGGCATTCACGCAGCACTTCAGCGGTAGCCAAGACGGCGTTCGAGCTCAGCCACCTGGCTGCACAAGGGAAGCAACTACAGTCTACAGTAACCCATGCACGATCCGGGCCTCCGCCTCCAACGCCGACGTCTCCACACGAAGGCCTGGCAGAAATCTCCATCTGAAGCTACAGACTAATAATCCTATAATGTTGTCATACTAAAACAAATGATTCAGATAATAACCCTTGAGAGGCAAAGCCGAGGACAACAAAAGCTACCCTTGATTCACGCCCTGGTGGCGTTGCTTCTTGCAGCAAGGAAGCCGTACGAACACGCACTCATACTGTCCGCGATCCATAACTCAAGATCCCGCGCTATCCAAATGTTGAGGAAACGTGATGGAGAGAAGAAAGAGGTACTTGTACAAACGGCACATTTGGAGCATCATGCAATCGTGGAAACCGTAATCCCGGTCCGCGGAGCTCTCGGGAACACGCGCATGAGACAAAAAGACATACGAACACGCGCTCGTGTAGACCGCGATCAATAATTTACCTGTTTTTGCGGCATCACGGACATCCGAATCGACTGGAGTGAGTGGAGGAGGCACACACTCAACAAACAAAACCAGCAATGGGCCGCAAGTTCACAAATCCTTTGGCCCACGACCCCTTCACTCTTCTTTGGGGTCCGGTTGTGGGACTCGCGGCTTTGACAGGTCACCACACAAACACACATATGCAGCGAGTTGCAGTGAAGGATACGTAAGACCCAGACATACACAGCCTGTGATCCGCGCGCGCGAGAGCATCTGAACCCGAAATCCTTAATCCGTCCAAGACTACCTGGGCGTCCAAGATTCGGCGTGGTCCCCTGAAATGCAGAACCAGGTTGCCATCCCAAACCCTGCCAAGCAACAAGCGCCCTTCTTGGCCACCTTCACTTGGGCCGAAGCCTGTACCCGGCACAGGAAGCACGGCCTCTGCCCACGCCCAGGTGGGGGTTTCAGATATTAGGGGTACCTTGGTCCTAAAGGGCATCCTACTATTTGGGTAGTTCTCTAAATTAGGGTCCCTTTTTGGGATCCTTTTTAAAGGGTGCCGCCTTATAAAGGGTACCCAATAAAGGGCCCCAATTTAGAAAACTACCCAGTTGGGGGGCTACATTGAGGGTGCTTGGCGGGGCAGCCCTCTGAGTGCCGAGTTCAACAAAGTGCCCTCTCCATGGGGTTGTTGGGGGTTGCTTTAAGGGGATTCTTTGCTATTTGGGGGTATAAAAGGGGCACCCCCCCCCCATTTTCGGAAATACCCGTATGCTCTCATGAAACAGATGGAGCGCCGCGGGCATGCAGTCAGTGTGTGTTACGGTTCTTTGCTGCGCAAGCACACAAGAGCTGAGATGCGCACCCCGGCACGCTGAGGCGATGTGTGCAAATAGCCTTCCACTGGGGCTGCATCTGCCCTACAATGACGAGCCCTCTCTTCTCGGTAAGGACTTTGCGGGAGAAAGCGCCCGGCACAGATCTGGATCAAGCATTGCACACCCTGGCACCCCCCAATGTCGCTGGAACCCACTTCATGAAACCCGAAACCCTAAACCCTAAACCCTAAACCCTGAACCCTAAACCCTAAACCCTAAGCCCGAAGCCCTAAACCCTAAACCCTAAACCCTAAACCCCCTAAACCCTCCCAAACCCCACTTCATGAAACTTCTTGCCCCTTCTTGCCCATGAGGAACTCAAATAGGGGCCGCCTAAAGGGACAGCTTGCACGTCGATCGGCGTCAAAGCCGAGCAGGCCTCGGATACAGTGACGTCTTAATAATAATAATTATTATTATTATACTCATAGTCATAGTCATCGTCATAGTCATAGTCATTTTGGGCGGCCCTATGCAACTCGCTCAGCAGCAACTCCGCAGAAAACTCAAGGCTGTGAGAAGACTGTGTAGGAGTGTGCTTTTAGGAGTGTCTTGCACGTTGGCAACCTCACTAGGGTACTCCAAAAGTGGCGGTCTACAGCAGCTCTGTGAGCTTGTAGATAAGAGTATGGGAAGGTAGGGCTGCGAGTGGCAGGGGGTCTGGAGGACTTTAAAAGCCAGTGCGAAAGAATTGTAGTGCACTGTTCTGTCCATTGAACTCTCCTCCTGCCTGGCCTTAGGCCAGCACCAACCATACCACCTCTGTACTGAAAAGCGCTAGTGAAGCAGCAGTTCCGTTCTATACTGTTCGGATGGGATCGAAGACTGTGCCCGAAAAGTTTCAGCTGTGCTTTGTGGATGTGGTGAGTGAGTGGAGGCTGTGAGGTGAGTGTTCTCACCTCTTGGTTGGTGTATGTGCGGGCTGTGGGGTTGAGCACCTCCGTGTAGTAAGTGCTTTTGAAGTGGAGGATCTTTCGAAGACTCTGTGAGTGGAAAGCTTCGAGTCTGTTGAGATCGCCTTTTGTGAGCGCTGCTGATTCCAACCCGTATGTTACGAGCGGAATGAAGACCGCATTGTAAATGCGTAACTTCCACTTCAGTGTGAGGTCGGTGTTGCGCCAGAACTGGTGCAGAGAGTTAAAGTGCTTGCGGGCTTTGGCGACACGTGTGAGAACGTCTTTGTGAGAAGACCCGTCGCTGCTAATTGTGATGCCAAGGTATTTGGCGTGCTGCTCAATAGTGAGGGGGGCGCCGTTGTGAAAGTGGACTGTGTTCTGTGAAGTGGGGGAGCGTAGTAACACGCACTTCTTGAGGTTCAGGTGGAGGTTGCTGTGAGCCGCAATCCGCTGCAGGATGTGGAGCAGCTGTTCTGCTCTGTGAGCTGTGCTTGCGATGAGTGCTGTGTCGTCCGCATAAGCGAGGTCGTAGAAGGGCTGGTTTTGGCTGTACAGCCATGGAAGAGACCCGCCGTGAGCTGTGAGTTCCCGGTCCACATCGTGCATAACCATACCGTGAACTATGAGAAACAGGTATGGTGAGAACGGGCATCCTTGACGAATGCCCGCGCTGGCTTCCTCCCTGGTGCTTTGCTTCCCAGCCGCCGCCACTGTGAATTGTGGTGAGGTGTAGATGTTGTTGATGAGGGCTGTGAGATGTGGTGGGACGCCGTAGCGTGACAACGCTGTGAGGAGGGCGTCCGGGTGTATCTTGTCGAATGCTTTCTCCCAGTCGAGAAAGATGGTGTAAAGTGTTTGTCCTGTGGCCTCCGCACGTTCAATGAGACGGCGGACGATGTGAATAGGCTGGGATGTCGAGCGCGTCGCCCTAAACCCGTATTGGGTTTCCCTGAGTCTGTCGTCCAGGGCTGCTTGGAGTCTGGTGTGAATGATCTTGGCGAAAAGTTTGTAGGATGTGTTCAAAAGTGAGATGGGGCGGTAGCTGGCAGGGTCTGTGAGGGGACCTTTGCCTTTGTAGATTTCGACTACAATAGCATGGTGCCAGTCATCCGGGATGGTGGCTGTGAGCAGGGCTTGGTTGAGGACCCGCAAGAGAGCCTCTTGGTTATGGTCGTCTAACCACTGCCATGCTTCAGCAGGAATGCTGTCGGGGCCTGCTGCTTTGTTGTGCGCCAGCTCTTTAAGTGCTGCGTTGAGCTCTGCTGTGGTGATGGGTGAGAGGTCCACTGCTGCTGCCGGGTGTATTGGGTCTGTGGGGCCAGTGTAAGGTGTAGGTGGAGCTGCCCAGTGTGAGTCTCGCAGGTATTCTGCGAAGGTTTGGGCTTGCTGTGAGAGGCTGGTGGGCTTGCCCTGTGAGTCTCTAATGGAGACCGGTCTGGGCTTGTAGTCTGAGCGAACTCTCTTGATCCACTTCCATTTTTGGCGAGGGTCAAGAGTGGCCTCGCTTTCGGCCAGTCGCTCCTTTAGCCACTGGGTTTTATCTTTGCGGGCTTGCTTTCTAATGTCTTTGTGGAGTTGGGCCTCAAGATCAAATCTCTGAGCGAGGCGTGCGGCGGAACGTTGCTGTATGAGCTGCCAAGTAGCTTGTGAGATCCAGGGGTGTTTGGGGAAGGACGCGGTGGTTGGGATGTGGTCGCTAATGGCTTCCTTGGTCGCCGCCTGGAGGCTCTGCCATTGCTCATGTGGTTGTGATTGGAGTGGGAGCTGTGGGGGTGGTTGTGAGTAGTCTGTGGTAGGGGTGATGGCATCCAAGTTTTGCTTGATGTGGTTGTTGTAGGCTTGCCGCTGTGCGGCAGTGGGGGTTCTGGTGTGGCGTGGTTTGGGGGCTGTGCGTTTGGCCTCTTTGGTGCGGAGCTGCAGCTCGACTTTGACCAAGTAGTGGTTGCTGTTGAGTGCTGCGCCGGGAAGAGTGTGGATGTCGTGGATGATGTTGCGCCAGTCTTTGTGTATAATGGCGTGGTCGAGTTGCACGAGGTCGCCGTTGGGTCTTTTGTGGGTGTGTCTATTGCGAGGTGCTTTCTCCATCCAGCTCTGTGGGAGGCAGTAGTCCTGTGAGGCCAGGAGGTCGTGGAACTGTCGCTGGTTGGTGTCGCCTTCTGCATCATCGTCTGGCTCGTCTTCCTCGGCAGTTTTGCCTGGGACGAAATGTGGGCCAGTGGCGTGAGGGATGGCTGCGAGCTCGTCTAAGGCTAGTGCGTTGAAGTCTCCAACCACTAGAAGGGGGGTGCGTTCTCTGTGAGTGGAGAGCTGTGTGGTGAGCGCTTGCCAGAACTGGTCCCGGCATTGCTGTTCGCGTTGGCTGTGTGGGGCGTAAACCGCCAGTATGCTGAGCGGAGCTTCGATGGTGTCGATGGTGAACCGAAGAAATCTGCCGTCGACGCAGGTGAGATCTGTGATGGTGGGTGTGAGGTGTGGGGCTGTGATGAGGGAGACTCCTGTGAAGGTCTGTGTGGGCTTGCCTTTGCTGTCGTACTCTTCTGTGGCGCTGTGGGTAATGGTGTAGCCATTCAAGAGCGAAGAGTAGAGTTCCGATCCTTCACGAAGCGTGGATATCGGCACGACAGGACCATCTTTGAGAGGATACTTCGGTGGATCTGCGACAAAGGAGTTGCCCACAGCAACACGCGCATTGTTTGCTGGATCCAATCGCGCGAAAGTAGCTGCAGTCACAAGATTCTCCATTCTCGCAGGGATGTTGCCAGCCATTACCTTGGAATTGGGATGAAACACGGAAAAGAGAAGAAGAAAAGTTCAAAACATAATATAAAAATAGAAAACAAAAACATATATACTTACCTAGTAATAATCTGTATCACGGTGCGCGGGCGCTATTCTGGATATGCACCGCCAAATTTCCAGCGGTGTCTGCTCCGAAGCCAGTGCTGGTGGAAAGGGAGCCAGAGCTATCCAATAACAACTTCTCCACGCGCGGGAGGCCAGACAGAGCCATCTTGTAGCCTAAGTCGTATTCACCGGCAGGAGCCGGATTCTCCGTCGCATCGTCCAGACGTGTGGCCAGTGCAGAGTCCGTTAGATCGTATTTGATGTCGAAACGGTTGCTGAGAGGCTCCGTCGGAGTGAGATCTACGGTGGGTTGGTCCACCTGAGGAGGGACGACAGGCTGGGCCTGCTGACCCATCAGCGCGTTGAGGGCCGTGACGCCCCCCATGGCCTGAAGGGCGGCGATAAGCTGCTGAAGCCCCACGTTCTGAGCCGGATCCCCACCGCCTGGGAAGGCGGGTGTTGGATTCGCGGCCGCAACGAGAGGGGCAGCTTTTGGTGCCGCCGCAGGCTTGGGATTCGCCTTTGGTACTGCAGGAGACGGTACTTTGGGCAAGGCATTTGCCTGCTCAGTGTCGTCCTCTGCTATGTCCATTTCATCTTGTTGGCCCGCCATGGGCAGGTAAGTATGCTAACCAAATGTGTGAAGTCCAATGTTCATAAACTCATTGAAAGAACATTTCACTTGAGACATGCATATAATGTGAACGCTGATGACATGTATACATGTACACATGCCCAGTTTGCACACTTGAAAATTGAGCCTATAATGCAACGGACAAATAAAGCCTTTGCCTCTAGTCACTCGCTGTCCTCTACTAATAAATAGATAAACTGCGAGTGCAAGTGATAACTCAAGTTTCAAATACACAATCAAATGATAAATAGTGTTAACAAGAAGAACTACATATTATGGAAGATATGGGTTTGGGACCCGGTTCAAACAGATGGTTAGCAACCCGGACACACCTAGAGCCTTGGGAGCTCACGTTGATGTGCCCCGTTAATAGTCTCCAGTTATGGCACTGGAAGCCATCTTTTCATCATCGTAAAGATAATGAAAATTTAGTCATAGTCATAGTAATAGTAATAGCAATAGTCATAGTAACAGTAATAGTAATATAGTAATATAGCAATATAGCAATATAGCAATATAGTAATATAGTAATATAGTAATATAGTAATATAGTAATATAGTAATATAGTAATATAGTAATATAGTAATATAGTAATATAGTAATATAGTAATATAATAATATAGTAATATAGTAATATAGTAATATAGTAATATAGTAATATAGTAATATAGTAATATATAGTAATATAGTAATATAGTAATATAGTAATATAGTAATAGAGTAATCTAGTAATAGTACTAGTACTAGTAATAGTAATAGATGTAATAATAATAAATAAGAATAATGATCGCAGTAGTATTAATACTAGTATTAGAGAACCAGCGCGCCTAGCTAGTCGAGAACGGACGGCACAATCGGGCAGTTCCACAGACGAGCTGCACGAAACCAAATCTTCAACACGAACGCCGAGGCATCGACGATTTTGCCACCCGGGTACTCCACAAATGGCCCCTGGAAAGAGCCACCGGTGGTCACGGCTTGGAATATTGCGGAGATCTTCTGAAGCCGGTGTAGCTGTTTCGATTTAGGGTTTAGGGTTGAGGGTTGAGGGTTGAGGGTTGAGAGTTTAGGGTTTAGGGTTTAGGGTTTAGGGTTTCGGGTTTAGGTTTTAGGGTTTCGGGTTTCGGGTTTCGTGTTTGGGGTTTCGGGTTTGGGGTTTGGGGTTTCGGGTTTAGGGTTTAGGGTTTAGGAGCGCTTGGAAACACTTTGACGCAGAGATAAATGCGGGAATGTTCCTTGAGTTTCCTCACATTTGCTCTTCCATCTTTTGTGCTGGGACTTCAGGGTTCCTTCAATAGGAAATGCGCAGGCACTTGAAACGACAAGCTCGTTTGCGTCTTTGCTCGTGCTTCGTCCAACACAGAACTCTCCTGTTGCGGTGGCCATTGCAGCGCTCATCTGGGGTAGGACACGCCAAAGTCTGACGTTCACGGGGTTTGGAATCAAGCCAACATAGAAAACCAAGAAACTGTTGCTCCAGCAAGTAGCAAGCGCAACTATGATAGAACGCACGCCTCGCAGCGGCAGCGCAGGAGCAGCCGCGGGGCAAAGAACAAGCCCCCACGGCGCCTGAGAATTCAATCTGCTCACGCTCTCGTTGCCCCTAGGCCTTGCTTTTTAACTGTGGCTCCAAGGACTTCTGGCCGAGGGGCGCGGGGACTCGGTGCCTGAGCGCAGCGGCCTGCGTGCGGCAGACGTACCTCAAGTGCGGGTTCAGACTTGGAATCTAGGCCACCAAACTCACAAGAAGAATCCGAAGGGCACAATCCGCCAGAGTGGTGTGGCCCGGCATCGTCCCTGCGGAAGGCTCGAAGCTGAAGGATAACAATCAAAATCCAGACATCTGGCATGTGCGGATTCTGGACGTTTGGGGATTCTCCGCGATTCCCACTAGTGGTCGCTACGATTGCTTGCTTGGGAGACAGCTGCATCATGGTCCTGATGGTCACCCCCAGCGAATATTCTGTACGATCTCCGGCCTTGGACAACTTGGGTCTCTCCTCCCCCCCCCCCCCCCATCGTGCACCACACGCTTGCAGCCAAAAGGCCCAGATGCTCAGGAGACGGTTTCCCACCTGAGCAGGGCTCCAGAGCTTCACTAAAACTTTGTGCATCCGCTTAGTTTGGGAAAGGCCCCCGCCCCTCCCCGCACCCCACACCTTGGCCACCACCTTGTACCCGATGCCACGGAAGTCGCGCAGCCTGGGCTTCAAAGTGATCGGTGCACTCAGAATGTCCGTGTACCCTCGTGATCCATAATATGCTATTCTGTTCATTGGGTTGTACGTCTTATGCAACCGTTCAGGCCATCGGCTCGGCATGTGTGATGCCTTCAATGCCAGGCAGCGAATCTCTCAGCTGGGAGGGGTTGGCTCGAAGGTCCTTGGGGCATGGCTCACGGGAGCCCTGGAGGGATGGCTCACGGGAGCCCTTGAGGGATGGCCTGGGTGCCTCCAGGCTCCAAGGGCTCATTGGGGTTGCAAGCCGGTGCTCGCACAACGTGCTGCCCCAGCCATGTCCTCCACGTTGATGGACCAAGCGCGAAGGATCTGCTCCACTGAATCATCCATTGCGAGCAGAGATCAGCTCAGGAACGTACAAGAGTTGACAGGCGTGGCTGCAGGCCAACGGGCTAGCAGTGGCAGGCTTTAGCCGTGGTGGGACAGCAACTCCCAAGCATGGAGCTGTTCTGGTTCTAACATGCCTTGAGTGCCTTAAGTCTACAACGTCTACAACGTTTACAATCTACAATCGGTGACCCATACTTGTGTCAAGGGAATGTCCATCTGGGCAGAGTGACTGAGTGAGCCAGCTCCAGTTTGCAGCATAGGAATGAACCGTTTGCTAGCGCCCTCCTGCAGGCAATGGGCAATTGCTAGGCACACGGAGAGTCTGCAAGGACAGCATACCATGCAGAGGCGTACCCAGAGAGAGAGAGAGAGAGTCGAGTCTGCGTGGTTGGCGCAATGTTGCAACAACGACTCTTACTCTTCCCCTTCACCCAGAATGCTCCTCGAGCTTGCAAGAGGGATCCGCCAGAGTTCTGACACCAGCTGTACAAGTTTGATACAATCGATTGCCATTGAAATAGCAATTTTCCTCTAGTGTGGCAAGAGGCTAGAGCTTATTGATAGAAAAATTCTCCACGAGGTTCGCAGAGATGTAGAGGAGAAATCACCTGGCAATAGGAGGTACAAGCCATGCTTGGGGTGGAGAGTTCCGCTCCGTGATTGCTACAGCAGCATGATCAGGCTGCAAATGTCCCTTTGCCGGTGCAGAATGCCACGAAGATTGGCCCAAGCGGCTTCGCATACTTGTTCTTGGCCAGGGAGTAGATGAGAGTGCCTCCCAGGGTCACACCGCCCCATGCAAGGAAGCTCACGTGATCCGTCCACGCAAAACCCAAGATGGGCTCTTCACCCCGCATGCCCGCTCGAATCGATCTAGCCGGGCCCAAGCACTCTGAAACCTCCTGGTAGGCTGGAGTCTACATCCTGAAGACAATGTCAAGAACCATCAAGAACCATCAAGAACCGTCAAGAACCACCAAGAACCGTCAAGAACCGTCAAGAACCACCAAGAACCACCAAGAACTGTCAAGAACCATCAAGAACCATGAAGAACCATCAAGAACCATCAAGAACTACCAAGAACCATCAAGAATCGTCAAAAACCACCAAGAACCATCACCGTCAAGAACCACCACGAACCACCAAGAACCGTCAAGAACCATCAAGACCCACCAAGAACCATCAAGAACCGTCAAGACTTACCAAGAACTACCAAGAACCACCAAGAACCCTCACGAACCTGCAAGAACCCTCAAGAACTCCAAGCATCCAGCCTAGGATGGCAATGCTGCTGCCCAGCACGCCCAGGCCGGTCACCGGGTTTCGGAACACGAAGATGGCGGTGATGATGATGACCACCTTGGGGCCGAAACGTGATATTGATTGGCGCCCATCCGCAAAAAAAAGCGACGCAGTCCCCTCGAGGCAAGGCCCATAAAATCAACTTGTTTAAGCAGATATCCTTTGGAAGGACCGTCTCTTTTGCAACACGGCGGTGCCCCCCGTTAGCATTCTTACTCTGAGCTTGCCAGGGAGGAGAAGGATCGTCAGCAGCTAGGGCTCCCGGCACGCTTCATGGTGTTGCACACGGCATGAGACCTGCAGAGGCACAGAGGCGCTCTCTTGTTGTTGGATTGGGAACTTAGGGTTTAGGGCCCAGGGCTTAGGGCTTAGGGCTTAGGGCTTAGGGCTTTGGGCTTTGGGCTTTGGGCTTTGGGCTTTGGGCTTTGGGCTTAGGGCTTAGGGCTTAGGGCTTTGGGCTTTGGGCTTTGGGCTTTGGGCTTAGGGCTTAGGGCTTAGGGCTTAGGGCTTACGGTTTTGGGTTTCGGGTTTCGGGTTTCGGGTTTCGGGTTTCGGGTTTCGGGTTTCGGGTTTCGGGTTTCGGGTTTCGGGTTTCGGGTCAGGCTGCTGTCCAGCCAAGAGGCACAGGGTCCAGCTTGCCCAACGCGAGGAACGCTACCTCGTTGTACATGTAGTAGTAGAAGCCACCTCGGCCAAAAATCTTCGTCCGCGGCTCAAGGGACAAGACTGGTAATCCTCGCAAACCCTGCATGCCATATGCTGTCAAGGGGCTCAGAATCATCCTTAGCAGATTGACGATTGGAGGAATGAAAGGGCCCCGACAGGCTTCTCTACTTCTTCTTGACATATTCACAGGCTACAATGATTCGTAGGCAAACCCAAGGGCCTAAGGCAGAGAGTGGCGTGGCAACGCTTGGGGCTTGGGGAATGAGCCGGTACACCGCATGCACCACTATGCGCTCTGTTCAAGGCCTGCGCGGCCCTAGATTCGAAGCCTTGCTGCCAGGGCTCTGCCACATGAAGGACATGCCTCCCGAATGGTACGCAAGCTTGAAGCCCTTCAGCATTGCCTTGGGTCACTTGTCCACTGAGAACTGGGCATGTCACGTAGGGGCCAAAACAGATGCAAATAGGCAACAGCAAGCCTAGGGCCATCCCAGCAACGCTTGGCCCCTCAATGGCAAGGGAGATGGGGATCAGCATGAAGGTTGCCATGATGGTAAGCACCTTGGCCCAGTTGCCAGGACAAAAAGCTCTTGCACTGAGACTGCAAACCCACAGCCTCACTGCGTCTTGCATATCATTCCGTTGGAGTTGTCTGTATTATTCGCCGCCTTCGTCAGTTCTGCAACTCGGCAAGACTCCAGCTACGAAGTTCTGCGATGCCACAAATGAGTGACTTTGCCCGACTCTTGCAGTAACTTCGCATGACTTCGCCTGCTCCAGCTTCACTTGACCAAAGCATCAGTCTAGTCCATATCCCAAAGTGGGGAATCTTCGATACACATGCCCGAAGCGAAGGCACCCTAACTAAGCGCATAAATGCAGCCCATGACCCAACTCAACAATCCAGCAGCTCAACACGTCTCGGCTCCGGGCTGCATAGACGTTAGCCGAATCCATGTTCTTACCTTGTGGGATCTTGCAGGAAGCACACCGGATCACGGCATTGAGAGCCAGGCAGAATAGCCCAGTCCCGACTGGCGACCAAGATCCGGGCCGATGTCACCCCCGCTCATGACCTGCCAGAAAAAGGGCCCCAGGTTGCACAGTGTTTCGGCATCTTAAAAGCACTTAGTTGAATGCCAAGATCGGCTTGAAAGTGCGAGTTTCCTCAACGACTCAGCGCCTTCTTGCTGTAGACGGCGCGGGATGCGGATCCCAAGTTCGACCCCATGGCCGCCCCGAAGCACAGCCTCAAGCGTGACTCAGACGCAGCAACAACTTGGGGGGGGGGGTGGTCACCTGGGTTACGGGGTTTCCTGCTGCCACCCCCCCCCCTGCCCCCCACCTCACAACACAACGACAGACCTGGGTCACTCAAACCGAAACAAAGACCTCGCCCCAGCATGAGGCGCTGGGAAGCCTCTTGCTGCGCCAAGGTACCAGTTGAAGGAGAGCTCGGAAGCACTCGCCAGGCCGACGCCGCCGATGATCGGAAGCCTCAAAGGTGGAAGGTCAGGTCTGCGAGTGGTCTGCAAATGGGTACCCTTGATATACACCCCCAAATAGTCGGATTCCCTTATAATAAGGACCCAACAAGGCGTCCCTGTTTAAACCCCCAAGTGGTCTGCAAACGTCTGCAAGACATATCCTTCAGAGGCATGACGGCTTGGTCCCAGAGGTCCCATCTCCCGACCCTTGAGCCCACCAGTGGCCCTTTCGCCGGGAAGCAGAGAGGCGTACACTTGCCAGGGCATCACCTTCGAGTTGCGGGAGAAGCACTACGGTCCGAAGATCCGGTTCAAAACAACTCTTACCTTATGCTAGGGCTGCTAGGGCCTACTGCGGCGATGCTTGGTCCCGTGAGGGCGCCTCGCCCAGGAAGGCAAAGTTCAAGAAGGAGGAGACCACCGGCTCAGAGGCCTCCGCCCAAGGTCGCGAGGAGGCACAGACAGGCTCATTGAGGTTTTGGAGTTGAGAACTACCCAGCTTGGGCGATCGGCTGCAAGGGTCCGCGCTTGCACCAAGCCGTATGAGGCCCATGGTGCGCTGTTCCCCCTTCAGCTGTGGAAGCTAGGCCACGGCGGACAAGCAAGCTCAAGCCAACCAACCCCACACGAACTCCCAACAAGCAAACATAGATTAGAGAGAGCCCATCAGGGTTCTGGGGACCCCCGAGCGGCCCAGAGGACTGGGTTTCAGCCTCGGCCCTCAACAGCAGGGCAGAACACCTTTTAGGCCCTTAAGGCTTCTTCTCACTCTGGAGAACGATTGGACCCTTTGCGGCACGGCATGCCTTCACGATGTGGCCGAAAGAGACAGCTCCGGCGAAGAAGGCGATCACCTCAATCCCGGCAGGGTCCAGGCTACCAATATCGGTACGGGTTCTGGGTACCGGGGTGATTCAAGTTTCAAGGCCACCCAGTGAGTTGCGTCTTCTCCTTCCGAAGCATGTGCTGCAAGGGCTTCTGAGATCCTGGCGGCCCCCACGTGCGTCGCTAAATGGCCCAACCTCTTGCTTAGACTGGAGTCGGGTAGCCGAACGGCACAGGATCAGAGAGGCCGCAAGAGTGCGGAGGAGACGCAAATGCTGAGTAGGTCTGATAACACTCATTGCAGAGTGAGTGCAAAGTAAATAAAGTAAGGTGAACTGATAGCCTTGAAGCTGGTAAGAGAGGCACAAGCACGACATCTGAAGATGAAAGGGATATTCAGATCATCCCCCCACTAGAAGACACAGCTGCTTCCCCACACCACCCGGAACCGAATCGAATCCATCGAGTTCAGGTGCTCCCCATGTTGAAACCTCTGGGCCGCCGCGCGCAGAAGGTGCCAACGTCACCGCTTGCGAGACGGTGAGCTTCGGAGTCTGCGGAGAATAAACATCATACAACTGAGCGGCGACTGGGCAGCAATATCAAGCAACAAGCTCGTGCAGCTTGACAGGTGCTTGTACAACAGATTTCATTCCACCCACGTAGAGATCAAACAAAATAGGCCTTGCGGATGCGTAGGATCCTTGGCTTTGCAGTGAATGCGAAGCGATGATGACATTTCCGGACTCTGGATTTGCACCACTACTTTCGGCCAAGGCTCCAAAGAGGCACAAAGATTAGCCATCCGAAGGACATCTGCCAGAGGGCACAGGCCCAGGGGTAGGGGTATGAGATCCTCAGCTCGGTCAAGACACTTTCAGAGCCACCTTCACCAACCATAGCGTGGCTTGTTCGAGCCTAGTCTAGAGCCGTAGAGCACCGACAATCACTTGTATGTGTGTAATCATGCCTAACCTGAGGCTGACAGAGCTTGTGTCGGGCTGCAGCTTCATATCAGTGGCACTGCTCGGCCCACAGAAAAAAATCTTTGGCCAAAATGCAAAGCCTTCTTGTTGTAGATGTTGTAGCCTGGAGAAGGCGAAGGGCATGGATTTTTCAGCGTGCAGGATTCTTCGGACCCTGCAGCACTGCACCATGGCTGCTCACAAGCCCTTCAGAAGTGTCAGCAGTGGACAGGCAGCCACCCCTTTCAGTGACGAAGGCATGTGTCCTTGTGCCCTGTTCTGCATCGATATCATCTATCTGAGACAAGAGCCGATGTTGAAGACATACCACAAGCCGATGTAAATCACCACACCGAACTTGTCCTTAGGCAGCGCATGGTGGTGATCTTGGCACACTTTCTTCACTTGCATCGGCCGCCTTCACAAAACTCTTTGTAAAGAGCTGCATGGCAACTTGACTGCTCCAAGGCCAATGTGCCCTTCAAGCCAATCTGCTCTCTAACCCTCCAATGACCAACCCTCCATCCTCCAGAAAACAGCACATGATGTGCGCACCCAGGGAACCATGAAGCTCTTCTCCTCCTTGGTCTCCGTAGGCTCCTGCAAGAGAGTGCACAAAGGCTTCAGTGTGGCTCACCAATCACTTGCAAGCAGCTCTTCCGGGCCTCCGCTGCCGCCTCCGAAGCTTCGGAGGCCGCGCGCATGGCGACCTCGGGGACCCCGAGAAATGGCGAAAAGCTTCCGTGGGGCGGTGCGGGACGGCTACGCTTGGCGCGGGTGGCTTGCGGCTTGGCGCTGGGCGTGGGGCGGTGACCATATTGGCCAAGTTTCCGTTTCCGTGGCGGGACGGCATGGGGGAACATGAGGCTTGATTGTGTGATGGGGGTGCAGAGTGGGGCATGGGAATGGGGGGTGGAGGCTGAAAGCAGGAGGATGGGTGGATGGCACAGGGGGGCGGTAAGCAGTGGACCAGAAATCGGTCCTCAGGTTTTGTTTGTAGGGTTTTACCACCGCCATGTCTTTGAGCAGACACCCGTGACGTCTCTTGGGATATGCACTTTCTGCTGTTGTGCTGGCTCGACCTTGTTTCACGGCCCGCCCAGGCCCGACGGATTTGGGAGTACTAGCACTAGTACTAGTCGTAGTCGTAGGCGTAGTAGTAGTAGTCGCCGTAGTGGTGGCGGTGGCGGTGGCGGTGGCGGTGGCGGTGGTGGCGGTGGTGGTGGCGGTGGCGGTGGCGGTGGCGGTGGCGGTGGTGGTGGTAGTGATTGTGGTAGCCGTAGTAGTCGTCGTCGTCGTCGTAGTAGTAGTAGTAGTAGGAGTAGTGAAGTAGAAGTAGTAACAGTAGTAGCAGTAGTAGCAGTAGCAGTAGTAGCAGTCGTAGCAGTAGTAGCAGTAGTAGCACTGGTAGTAGTAGTAGTAGTAGTAGTAGTAGTAGTAGTAGTAGTAGTAGTAGTAGTAGTAGTAGTAGTAGTAGTAGTAGTAGTAGTAGTAGTAGTAGTAGTAGTAGTAGTAGTAGTAGTAGTAGTAGTAGTAGTAGTAGTAGTAGTAGTAGTAGTAGTAGTAGTATAGTAGTAGTAGTAGTAGTAGTAGTAGTAGTAGTAGTAGTAGTAGTAGTAGTAGTAGTAGTAGTAGTAGTAGTAGTAGTAGTAGTAGGAGCAGCACTACTACTACTACGACGACGACGACGACGACGGCGGCGCAAACCTAGGTCGGCCCACGCCATAGGTCCGAGCCCCGCCCGCAACCGCGGCGTGTTTCTGTCACACGACCACCCTCTCCAGGTTTCGTAGAGGGTGCGGAATCGTCATTATATCAAGAACAACGATATTACAAAAAACAAAAAGCAAGTCCCCGTGCGGGTGTTTGTGTCCTGTGCATGCGCACCCTATGCGCGTTTCGTGGCAGCGGCATTCACACCCCCAGTACGCGCCGCGCGCTTAATTGACGCGACGCGTAGCCAATTTTGCATCGGTGTTTGAAAGTTTGTTTGCTTTTGTGGCGTTGGTTTCGGGGTTCGTGTATGTTGATGCTTCAAAGGTTAGGGTTTGCGCTGAGAGTTGTGGATTTGCACTGTTTCGGCTCAGGGTTTGGTGCAAATCGGAATTTTGGAGCAGCTGTAAGAAAAAAACAAAAAAACAAGAAGAAAGGCCGTTTGCGAAAACAGTGTCTGTGAGTTCCGATGCAAGTTAGGCATGCCATGAAGGAAAACGTAGTGTTAATTTAAGTGCTCGGTAAGTGGAAGTAGTAGCGGTCGTGGTCGTGGTGGTGGTGGTGTGGTGGTACGAGTAGCGGTCGTTGGACTGCTGCTCTGGGCGACAATCCTCCTGCATGTATCAAGCCATATCAAATCACAGACAACTCAGCAAGGTCTTGCATTTAAGCCGGGACGCTGCGCAGCCCGCCGCTGCGAGCGCCAAGGAGACCTTGATCGATCCGGCCACCCCCCATCAGGTGATCAGATTAAGGGCTGTTTTTGTCAGAAAGCGGCGGCAGGTTCGCCAGTTCTCATCACATCATGGCAGCAAGATGTCAACACAGCCAAAGAGAGATTGACCTGCAGCCTGGCATGGTTCCTTCGGTGCTCCCTGCCGACTCCGACTTCTGAGATCGCAGCAAAATCGGTTGCACGCGCATCGTCGGACACTTTGTCCTCTCAGGGCCCAGTAGTATCAGCAGTAGGGTTTCCAGATGAGGACTGGTCACAAGGCTTCGGACCCGAGCCTGCGCCCGAGTAGACTGGAAGCTTCTGCCAGCAAAGTTTCCGAACCTTGGCTTGAAGCCAACTTGCCGGGGCTGACGAGGGCCGAGGGCCCCTATCCAAAGGTAGTCAGGGTAGTCTTGGAGCATCTGGCTGTGGCGAAGAGGCACGACGGCCTTGTGCGCAAAAATCTGAGTGTGTCTCTTCACCTTGAAACTGCCCAGTGGCGAGGAGGTCGGCAGAGGCTCCGCAATGCCCTGGCCGCAAAGGGGCTGCCAGCATGCTGGAACACATCTGGCCACTGACTAGACAATGCCACACAGAGATTCGAGAAGTTCTGCGCCTGCGAACTAACGATGACAGGCCTTTACACCGACTGCATTCGTGAGCCTCGAAGGGCCTAATTGCTCGGAAGACCCTAAACCCTAAACCCTAAACCCTAAACCCTAAACCCTAAACCCTAAACCCTAAACCCTAAACCCTAAACCCTAAACCCTAAACCCTAAACCCTGTTGGCACATCTTGGGGCCTCGATGCCAGCCGTAGTCCGCGTTCGTGTGGTCGGAGGCACAGCAAAGCTCTGCTCTCCGATCCAAGCACAGAAAGCAAAGGCGAGGAGGAGGACTGGTGCACCTTTCCAAGACATCCTGGACATATGGCTTCAAGGCTTCGGGCTTTCAGGGTTGCGTCGGTGCATCATACATAGCATGGGGGAGCTACAGATAGCTACAGCACTTAAGTCCGACGTATGGGCTCTGTGCAACTGAGAAGCCGCGAAGCGGCCTCCACCTCAACCAGGGACTTGACAAAAAGGCGCACAAGGTGGCAAGGCAAGTGGCAAGGCCGTAGCAGATCGGTCTGCCCAACCCTTGTTGCCAGGCCTTCCCGGCGCAGCCATGGCCTGGCCAAGAGCAGGAATCGGAATGGGAAGGACATCATGCGGCGTGGACTGGGCAATACGATTCCCGACGTCCAAAACTTTAGACCAGGGTGGTCTGAGGGGTCGTGTGTCCAGGACAGCAAGTCTTTCCTAGTTCCGCCAAAGCCAGCTGCAGACCTGTGGACAGAGAACCTGAGGCCGAACCACTGCAGAGCTGAACTCTCGCGCCTCAAAATGACCCTGCGAAGTGAAACTTCCGTACAAACGTGCTTCGAGCCACAAGTCAGCAGCGAAATTGCTACCAGGTGCGTGGTCTCTGTGCACACTACGCAATCCCAAGGCACACGCATCCCTCAGTGTCGGCATAACTCCGAACCATGTCTTAGAACAAAAAAAGCCTACGGTACCTTGGGCGGTTGAGCTCCCAAACTTCACTTAGCGGGCACCTTATGTGTCGACTTCTGTATCGACGAACCAGAACTCTTCCGTTTCTTTGGAGTAGAAGGCTCCTCCTTCGCTTCATCCTTCACGACTGGCTGAGGCTCATTGGTCTCGATGAAGATGTGCCCCACCAAATCACATCGCTCTGGAGATCGTCCGATCGGTTCTGAAGCCTGTGAAAGGCGGCTCATTGCAGGAATTGGTGATCAAACCAATTCAAACCGATAGGTACGCAAACTGAAGCCGGCCACAACCCCATGTCTATGACATTCTATGACTTGGTCGAGCACGTGAGCTGCCGATGTTTCTTGGGATGTATGGTCAGGCTAAAGCCGCTGGACGGCGAGTTGTGCTTGTCTCCGTGTTCCCATTAGTGCAGTTAAAGCAGCGCATGATCACACCAGAAGAAGGGGGCACAGGGGATTCCTGCGACTACCGAGCTCAGCGACTGCCCTGGTTGCAAGATCGCTCCAGTCGAAATTCGTAAATGGTAAAGCAAGCCATGGCCCCGCAGCTGCAGCGGACATTCAAGAAGAGTGCTGTTATTCCGTTATGCCGAACGCCTGAGCTCCACGAGCTCTGCTCACGCTTAGCTGCCTTAGCTGTTTTGCACGCGGACGGGCGTCAACCCATGAGAGCGCTTTGCAGAGTTTCACGCTCCGCACACGCTGCTCGTGCAACTTGTCTCAGAGCCCTTCAACCCAGGCCGATCCAAGCTCAGACCCCACAAGACAATGGAAAAATCCAGCGGCTTTGAAGTTTAGAGGTTTCATGGCCCTAGAAGGGAGGGAAGCACGGAGATCGCAAGCCGCAGGCAGCGCCTAGTGTGCTTTCATGTGCCTTCGCTGTGTATGCCACAACCTTCGGGCCGCTTCCTTAAGGGGGTCTGGCTACCAGGTTGCCAGGGGATTGCGGCACTGGCAGGTGCCAGCAAGTGCCAGCGAGAGCACGCAAGCGTCCCCCGAACCACCAGGATCTTCAGAAACTCAGGGACGGGGTGTGAAGCGTGCCGGGAGACTTCCAGTCGCCAGAGCAGAATTTTCGAGGTTGAGGCTCCGGGTCGGTAAGACCGCATGGCACTCATGGCACTTGGTGACAACATTCGAGGCAGTGGTTTTCCTGCCTCGAGATAAGAAAGGCATGAGAGGCCACAGGTTGCGTCTCGGAGCCTCGAACCCTCTGCAGCTCTTTACGCAGACTGCATCCTAAAAGGTACGTGGCTGGAGCTGTCCAGGCACAAGCAAGAGAAACCGCAACCTGTGGCCGCATGAGACTACGTGAACCAAAATTTCGAGAATGGTGTTGCCCCAGGCCGGGGGGGGGGCAACCCGAGTTCTGCGATGTTGGAACACAACTCTCACGAAGCCATCTTAAATACAAGATGCTATGGCTTCCAATAGCATAGCACTCCCGAAGCATAGTGCCTGAACTTCTGCAACCCTCTACACGAAACCAGCTCAACGCCAAACTCACCTGATGCAGGCCTAAAGCAAGGCAAAATCGGCTCACCACCGCCTCGGGCTTCCTGCTCAACACGCAAAGGCCGCTCTTCAAACCGGGATGAAGTGCAGAAGTAGCAGCAAGCTGAGAGTTTGCGTGCTACATGTTGTGTCACGCACATTCAGGGTATACATGTTTGCTTCACCACGTTCATGCAGAACAGGCACATGCAAGCCCGATTTAACCGACTCCGCTCTAAGCGACTCCGAACAAGCTTGGCAGGAGCACGGCTGCGCCCTCGGCTGCCGCCCCCCTCGGCTCCGTTGCCATGCAAAGTGCATAATAAGATATCATCAGCGAGCAAAAGGCTAGCCTGCCACGAATACATTCTAAGGCCTTCTAAGCTGCAAAGCCAGCAGCACATCAGGCCGGCAGAAGGGCCAACTACTTTGAATCCGAAGGCTTTGCCGGGCCCCCCGCGTAGCTGCCCCCCCAGCTGCCTGACAGGATCAACTGCGTGTTGGCCGCAGTGCCAAAGTTGAAAAGCATCTCATTGGGCCGATTCGAACCTCCTCCACCACCACCGCCGCCGCCGCCGCTTCTCCAGCTGTCACCTCCTGCGTGGCGATGGTGCACCAGATTACAGTTCAGGCTGATCAGGCTGAGGAAGCTCGAGTTGATACTGCTTACAAAGCCTACGAGTACAAGGCGCCCCGTGTCGGCGAACAAAATCACACCGCTTTCAACACGTGCTGGCCTTGTAGTCCCCTCCCCCTGAACCTCCCTCTAGAACAAGAGAGAAACTCCAGGATGGCCACAAGACCCCCCACTCATAGAATCTGGAAGAATCACCATCATCCGGCCTCCGCGACTCCCGCCGCCACCGCCACCACCTCCCCGTCCTCCTTGGTGCGGGAGAGCACGGGATTTTCTTCTGCAGGGTCGCAGCTCAGCGTGTATAGTGAGGCCATTCATTCGGCATGTGGGAGCGTTGGTTGTGTTCGGCTCAGGATGGCCAAGCATTCAAACCACACGACTGCACAATTCATGCATGCAAGCTTTGACATGCTCAGAATGTCACCCCAGCGTCCGCCGCGTTCTTCTCGCGCAGAGCCGGCCTCAGGGCATCAGCTTCTCTTGCTGCAAGATTAACGTGGACCTTGGCTTTGCGATGCTTTACTTCTCTTGCTCTGCTCGTGCCTGCTACACGCCGATCTTCCGACGCTGCACAGTCAAAAAGCCCAGCGCTTCAGGAAGTGATGGGACGTTGATCCGCATGCCGAACCAGGAAAACATGGCAAAGTCCAAGTGGGGCACCATATCCCGCAGATCGGAAGGAACAGGCTGATTGGTACGCTGCATCACCTGGCTCATGGACGGTTCCCGGTGCAGTCATGGCCAGACAGACACACGCCGCCTCCATGATGCCTTTGGCTTTCCCGGCATCAGCTCTTCTATCCAGGAAAGTGACCTGAGCTCCATTCAGATGCATGCAGTCTTGTCATTGTATTGCGGATGGAGTTTGCTTTTGCTACCTTTTGTTTTTGTGTGGCTCCTTTGTGTGTTTGTTGTGACGCATTCGAATGACAATGTTGATGTTTGTTATTGCCTGCGCTTTCGCATTGGGATTTCCCAGTTCCCGAATTGGTGCTTTGCCCTGTTTGGGGCTTTGACATCTTCAGAGGCTTTTGAGCAAAACAGGTTCACATGGTCTTTCAAAACGTACCCCCCCCCTCCGTTCGTAAACGCAATGCTCGTACAGATCTCGATCTGTCCCACATTTTCCTTTCTTGCTAAGGCAATGCTCGCATTATGGGAGAGAGGGGTCACACCCATTTGCAACCACAACGCTCGCACGATCAAAGTCCGAAGCTCCTCGTGATTGCATCTGTTCTTCAAGTCAACATTTCTTGCGTTGCTCTTCGAAACAAGTTTGCACGGTAGGGTTGCCCCCCCCCCCCCCCCCAGAACTAAATGCTCGCATGGCAGATTTGAAAAATTCGCGTTAATTTCGAAGGAAAGTCCGGTGATGGCACGGCATTCTTTCAAGTACCAGTGTAGCACTCAGCATGATGTCAACTCAAACATTTCTGTAAGGGCCGGGAGGCCCGGCAGCCCCACCCTTCCCCCCCCCCCCCAAAAAAAAAAAGGAAACAAAAACACAAAGACGACGTTAGAAGAATGCGCCCTCCTTTCATTACATTACAGGTTCTGGAGGCCTCCAATTTTCGGGCCCCACCGAATACCCCACCGAGAGCTCAGAGCCCGGCTGCAAAGCCCTTGCAGCCGGCTCGGCCAGTGCGGCCGATGCGGTGCACGTAGTCCTGGCCAAGCAAGGAGGTCCGCCAAAGCAAAAGACAGAACAGGGATGCTTCGGATGCCTAGGGGAAACATTTGGGAGCTCAAGCAAGTCACTGTAGAGAGTGTAAGGATTTTAGTCAGCCAAGGAGGTCCTCGGTGTTGTTTGCGGCATCGTAGTTAACCACTAGGCCAACCTCAATCACATTGCTATCTTGCGCAGACATGACAATGCTCATGCTTGATTTGCTGCTCCGAAGAGCAAGTCGGCAAGTCAGAGTCAGCGCCGCACGTCTACGCAAGACCGCCTGAGACCCTGTCCCCCTTGATGTCAAGCCCTCTCGCTGCCACATCCGTCGCCACGAGGACCTTCTCTAGCTCAAGGGACAAGGTGGGGTATATCCTGGTACCATGCCTAACCACTCTAGCCGCCTGCAGCCCCTCGCCATCAGGTTTTGGTGGTAGTGCGCTTAAGTTGTGGCCTTGGTTCTGGTTTGTGATGTCGGCTTGTATTCTGTTGATTCTTGTGGCCGATCGAAAGCTAGCTTGTCACGACATATGCTTAAACGTGTTAAAACCTTCTTCTCGGCAATGTGTGCGTTTGTCCCCTGCTGGTGCACGAAGTCGAAGGAAGGCATCGTACAAAGAAAGGCTGATCTCACATGTCAAAGCATGTGAGATCCCGATGTCTTCCTACCTTGCCACGATGCGACTGCAGAATGACACAGCCCGCAGAAAAGTTAGCATTGTTCGACTCCCGACATCTTGTCTTGCCGTTCGGAAGTTACCCACCAGCAGAAGAAGGTAGACTTGCAGAAAATGTTTGTCCCCTGCTCGACGTATTTGGGTACCCTAAGAATTTGGGGCCGCCTGATAATAGTAACCACAAAAAAGGACCAGAACTTAGAGAAGTGACCAATATCATAACACGACTGCATGCCATTGGTATTTGCAACAGAAACGGCCGGCCAACGCGTTCAGCACTTGACGTGGTACCCAGTTCAATCGCAGCAATTTTGCCAACGCAGTTTTGACACTGTCGCTCTGCAATTTGGAGTTCGAGAGAAGGTATTCTTTCTACAGACTTGAGGACTTGGGAAGGTAGACGTTGTTCTCCTCCCAGGGCCTAGGGTTCTTCAACAGGAATTGGGGCTTCCAGCAAGGATGCAGGGCTTTAAGTCTGTTGGGGCGACGGGTTGCAGCCATCCAGAAGTTACAGCTGAGTACGCCACGAGACTGACATCGGACCCGTCGGCTTTTGAGTTATTTCAGGATAGAAGCCTTCATACGAGATACACAGGCATTCCTTAACCTTAACAAAGTCTGCGGCATCCGACAAGGAGCACAAAGACGGTAGAAGATGCATTAGTGTTTGTACTACAGGCCCGAGACTTGTCCCCAAAAGAACGGAGGGCATGCCCGCTCTAGGCTGAAACCATGCACCATCCCTGCCTTGATCTTTCCGGCTTTCAAACCGTTAAGCGCTTCGTCTCGCTGGCGCTGGTCCTGCACTGGTCTAGGGCACTGGGATCAAGAATCGAGAGCAGGCCCCGTGTCCACAGGCTCTTCACTGACTTCAGCATTTCGAATGAGGGGTGTTGTATCGCCAGTGGCAGAACGCTCTACTTACTTTGCGGATGCCCCACATGCTGCATGTTTGACAGCCTAGTTGCCACGTCGCATTTGTAGCGTCGGTGATAACACCAGAGGCAACAAGCGCCTTGTCACCATGGATCGAGGAACACCTGGCACCCCATGAATCTACGCTTCCAAGATCCTTGCATTACGCTCAGACTCACCCAACACCGTACAGGCAAGCGAACCGCCGACATGAAACACGTCTACCGCATCTGATTCTCTGGCGGAAGATTGGTCTCGGCTCATGCCAGATCGAGAGAACCATGGCGGATCTCCAAAATGGCCGGGCTCACGGGACACCCGATCTGTACAGGTTGTTGGATAGCCTGGGCAAGTCCAAGCAAGTCACAAGCTCTGGATCAAACAAGTTTAAGTTGCTGAGCCCTTTCTCTGGGTGACAAGGCACATTCCCACCCCAGAAGAATTCTAACAGTGCATCTTGGCCTGTTTCTGAAGACCGGTACATCGAAGGTGTGAGAACAAACCTAGATGCCTCGAGTCTCTGGAGGACAAACATAGTCGAAAGACTGAAAACCAGTCAAGTCCTGTGACCCTAACCTCTTATGCCTATCATGTATAGTACATATACTTATACTTTATCCTTTATACACAATGTAATATTTTGTAATATAGCATAATCTCATGTATGAATGTATACACATACATTTCTTGTTATACATATTACGTTGTAAACGTGTATATATATTTGTATACATATACATATACATGCATAGAAAGCTTCTGCTTAGCTAGAGGCCGCTCGCACTCCCTCTTCGTCCCGGCGAAGATGAGGGCCTGCTCAATGGGTCTCCCCACGCGTATCATAGGGTTTAACGTCTAGGGTTTAGGGTTTAGGGTTTAGGGTTTTGGGTTTTGGGTTTAGGGTTTAGGGTTTAGGGTTTAGGGTTTAGGATTTAGGGTTTAGGGTTTCGGGTTTAGGGTTTATTCGACACCTTTCATCATCTTTCCCATGACCCCGTCGGCAGCTTGCCCTCCCACCACCCTATCATGCGTCAATCTGTCTTCCCTGAGCAGTTGAGCGACGGAGAATGAACGAAGCACCACGACACTCACGGAAGAAATCAGGGAGAATCACTCATCTTTTCTGCTATTCCCACAGTGTCTTCGTTTAGTTCTTTGCGAATTCGCGGATTCGTGTTGCTTGTCATGTCCATTTTCTGTTCATGTGTTAACGAAAACAATAGACGCGACAAGCGTCAAACGTGCCTGCGCAAGCCTGATATAGGTCGCAGACCCAGCGCAACCAGGGGCATGGGGAATAGTATCTATGGATGGAGCATCTTCTCCAAGCGGAACACTGCGGATCCTCTTGCGAAGCAAACTTTGCTTAAGAAGAAGTTTAGTTAAAGTCCTTCGCTTCCTAGCTGGTCCTATGAATTCGTGAAATACGAAATAACTACGGAACAGTCAGGAATCAGGCCATACATCTCATGATTCGAATTTGCAAGTGTCTCAGAACAACCACAAAGCCCTGCAGGAGGGCCTCATGGGAAACATGAATAGGGCCCAGAGGGGCCACAGGGGCAGGAGTGCGGGCAGGGGCGCGGAAGGGAAAAATGAAACAAAAAAGTAGAAAATCAGAAAACGGGAGAACAAAGTCAGAAAAAAAGTCAAGAAAGATCAGAGACAAGTCAGAAAAGGGCCAGAGAAGGTCAGAAAAAGTTAGGATGAAGTCAGAACAAAGTCGGGTCAGGACAAGCATCGTAAACACGGCTCAGGGTAGCAGACTTGTTTTAGGTTTGTGAACTCTTTTCTGACTTTCCATTTCTGGCCAGCACCAACCCATCTGATTTTTTTGTAATTCTCTTGATCCTAACAAGTCATAGAGAAAGTAACTTATGCCAACGACGTAAAGCTATGTATGAAACACAACTTCGGAATTGTTAGGGATTTGCATGATGAAACATATGTCCTTGTTGCGCTGCTCTCATTCGCTCGCAAGGCATTTTAGCAAGTGAGGTGACTCGCCCTCTTCGTGTACACATGTGTGTTGTTCGTTCATTCACGCTAGCAGCGTTTCCCATTAGCCTTCAGCATGCTTCCGGTCGGCGACGGCTTCTTAATCGCACGAGTAGGTAAAACGTGTGGGTTTGCTTGTTTTATCCGGTTTGAGACCCTGTGGGGGCAAAGATTTCCAAAGTATGGGCGATTTGCAGTGGTGCAAGGCTGCGTATAGGACACATAGGAGTCCGCACCCCAGATTCTAGGAACAAGATATCATGCGCCAAGACATCCTGTGACCGAACTCTTTCGCAGTCCCAACACACCAGGCCTTGCCCTGGCTATACCTGTCCATCAGCCCAGCCTGTTGCAGCCATGGGGGGTCTCGTTGCTGGAATAAGGCTGGGCCTAGAACCTTCGAAGGCGACCGCCTTCTTGCCGACTATGTGAGTCATCAGCAAGTGCGCAACGCCAAGGTGTAGCAAAGGATCCATGCAAACAGCAGGACTGGACGATCCACCTAACTTGCTTTGCACCGAGGACATGGCTTCACTGAGAAGATCCACAATCGCTCTCTCCTGCGCCGGTATGGAGCAGGAGAGTGGAGCGCAGCATTGTGGCGCCCGGCAAAGCAAGGGCTGTGAGAGTCCCAAGGCTTCGCCGAGAGCCCGTCCTTGCTGTATCCATCAACAATCTTGACCTTCTGAATGATGTCCTGCACATCACGAGTCTACGCAGGGCTTCCGTCGGCTTCAGAGCATCGTCCAAGAAAAGTTAGCAAAGCTGTTCGGGGACTTCAAGTAGGTCGTCAATGGTTTGCCAGCACGAAGATATACATATATATATATATGTACACACACACACATACATACTGTGTCTTTGGTTTGAAAAGGCCGAAAGCAGAAGCAGCAGCTGATGTCCTGATTGCCCTTCAGCTGATCACGATTGCCGATCATGACCTCAACTCCGTTGAACTTTGAATACTTACTGAGATTAAACTTCTAAAAGGCGAGGGCACAACGGACCGCTGCTAAAGAACAGAGTCGGCGCCTTGTACGGTTTGTAGAGAATGTCCGCGGCAAGGTTTCGGACCTGCTGAGGCCGAGACTGGGTCGAGATTGGGTCACACGCGGGCGCTTCGAGCGAAGACTTTGCCACACTTCGGCCAGCAGGGCCTCTCTCGGCCATGTTGCAGTGAAGAACATGGTGTGGCGGTTCCGCGGAATCCTGTCGGATCTGAATCTTTGCGGGCACTGAAGGGCTTCCGGCCTTTGGGGACATAAATACAAGATGGCCCTTGGAGCAAGGCCGGAAATGGCCAGCAAGGTGTTGTCAATGACAGTACTCAGGCTGACAGCAGCCCGGAGATGATTGTAGTACTCCACATCACTGCAGCACTGTCGGAAGCCCCTCGCAGTCCTCGCCAGGATCTTTCTAATCTGGGGCTCAAAACCTCGCAAAGTTGGCTGTGGCAGTTCTGGAGATCACAAGCCTTGATTTGTGGGGTTCTATTTGGCGTGCCATGTGACTGCCGTTCGGCCTGAACGAACAGGGCACTACTGGACTATCGCAAACTCCGGAACGTCATGACATTAGCAATTGCACCTTCATCGGTGAGGATACTACACTGTACCGGCCACATACTTGCCCCTTGCCCCTTGGTGCTTTGAAACTTTCTGCTGCAGGCCCCGGCCCATGTCCAGCATGCGATCGGCTTCGTCAAGCACGAGGCACTGGGCCTCAGCACGAGTTCATCATAGTTCCAGCATCAAGCGCACAGAATCATGTTGGTAATTCACTGCTGCCGAAGGCTGCTACAGGCGGTGCTCAGTTGACTAGACTAGCAAGACCCGACCCACACACCCACAGTCAAAAGCAAGTCCGGAACAAGGCGAGGAAACCCCTGGGCCCCCAGCGCCGTCTAGTCGCACCTGTCCTCCTTCCAGGAAGTCATTGAGCCGCCCTGGACACCTGCCACGTTAGCTCCACTCCGCTTCCTTCTCTTGGGACACCTGGGGCACCAAAGCTGCGAAAGATTCGCAGTTCTGAGGACCGTGCGCCACGATGGTGTGGACCCCATAGCGATATCTGGGCGGGGGTACCACCCCAGGCAATCCCAAAGCAACGGCACATGCTCTCTAGCTTTAGACATCCTCCCGAAGACCATCTGCCCCTGGAGTCCACGACTTCGGCCGACCCTCGAACCCATCAAACCAAAAACAGCACCGTGTTCCAAGGCAACGGCTTCCTGATCTGGTCCTGCTTCGGCGAGCCGCCATACATGGCTACCTCAGTAGCTCCAGTCTTGCAAGGCTTGTAGGGACATGCAAACGCTTTCAAGGAAGGATAAGGATAAGAGACGCATGTCCTCCCTCCTCTCCGGGCGCCGCGCGACGTTGAAGTTAATGCAATGGCCGAAGCGCTCGGCCTGGCCGGGCAAGAGCAACTCCGTCTGTGACTGTGGTGATGCCGCGAGTCCCGCGGACTTTTTTAATAGGTGGCCTAGCCGTGATGGCTGGTCCAACTCTTTGATACTTTTCGTGAGTAGATTTCGTTCAGGAACTCTTTCGGCTGAGCTTCTGAAGTGGAAGACAGGGGACACGGAACTCACCTAACTCTGAAGGCGTGGTGGTGGCAATGACCCTGTGTCCTACTCCACCCGGGCAAATGCAGTCATCACATGTCTGGCATTTCTGTGCGCTTCTGTGCAATGCTCGCGCTTGAAACTGTGCTGTGATGATTCAGACAGGCTTCTTACCCAGATGTCAGCGCCCGATGCAGGCGATGAGTACGGCTCAGACAGCATTATTGTACAGGTAGCACAAGTGGACTGCGCGCGGAAAATTGCTAAATCTTGATGCAAGTCATGTGCGTGGACAACGTCTTCCATTTCTAAGTGCCCACGGTTGTCCAATGAAAGAACAAAATTTGGCTGGTTGGTTCTGATTCACATAAAACAGAACTGTGAAGAAGCAGGCCCACATTGAGATCCATCTTGAAATACTTCCCTTTTTCATTTTCGAAGAGCCATCGTGGACAATGAGAAGGAAGAGGAAGGGGATGGCTAAGGGAAAGACTCGAGTCGAGAGAACAAGCGCTCGGCGAGGAACTCTCACTGGCACATATTGCACGCTGGACTTGCAAGAACTCGACACCTCCTGCTCGGTTTGCTGCGCAAGCTCGCGGGTTGGAGACCTTCAGGCGAGCGGAAGACGCCAGTGTCACAGCAATCCCCCTGGACGAAATCTACCGCATTCCTCCGAATGCTCAGGCAGCGACATGACCAGTAAACCTGGCCCGTGTCTGTCCGGGTTGTGTCCTGCACAGATCTCAGTCTGTTGGCTGAAAAGCACTGGCAGAGATTGGATCAACTATGTATGTATGCCTTGTAGTAGATTAGTAACTATCACATTATATAAACAAGATTATAAATAATATTATCATTATGTACGAGTGGTGCGGGCCCGGTCCTCTATGCATCCTTAGATGTGCTCTGCAAGGTAGGCTACGTTGCAGCTGGCAGACGGTGCCCGTTAGGAGCCCTGGCTCCGAAGGCTTAGCGCATGATGATTGCTGGAGCTTCAGGGAAGCATTGTGCATCCAAGCTTCATCTCACAGAACGCCGGCAACAGGAATGCCAGAGTTTTGCCGCTACCTCGTTCAGATGGCACACTGGCAGTGCTGTGCCGATGCATGTAAGCTGCTGACCTAAGGCAAACACACTAGGCCTGACTGCTTAATGCCCAGGTTCTTACAACACCCAGAGGCGGGTGCCTGTAGCTGCTATGCCAATGACGTCCTCACGGTACACGGAAGATGAGCAATTGCGTCGTTCCTTTGGAGATGCGGCCCACCCCACTCCTTGCCCTCGAGGGCCAGCGGCCAGGTGTAGGCCTCTCGCGCGAAAACTTCCCTCCACAAGGTACTAAAAACTGACAGACACGAGCCATGCCTGGATTTGGGAAGGCGAGGGGAAGCCGGCACGCCTGTTGCTGGTCACATCAACAGACCACGTGCGTCTGCTATGGCGTGGCATGGTAGGGACATGCACAACTCTCCGACACAAAGAACGCGCGCGACCCTCCCGAGCAGCAATTCAGCAAGAACACAGCCCTGACGATTGGAAGCTTCACTCGTCAAAGCATCTGCAGCATCAAGGAGTGCCTAAACTGCTCCTGGATCTCGCGCGGGAACCTGCGTTGGAGCTACTTAGGGCCTGAGGAAATGCATCTGGAATGACAGATTCAGGTTATCACGATGATGAACCAAAATCTGTGAAGAGTAAAGATCATTAAAAACACATCATCTGCACTGCAAGAAGGCGAAAGCAGCCTTCAGATCTTCGGTTGACAGCATCTGCATTTTGCTGTCGTATACTAGGCAAACTGAAACAGATGTTCCACCACGGTTCTACAGCCAAGTACACGTTGATGTGTAAGTCCTGCAGGGCTGCTTAGTTGGCGTACAGTATGTTACTCCTCAGCTCCCCCACACCCCTACACAGCTGGGCCACCCGGCGCTCGCACCTCGGCAAAACTACTGACTTTGCGCGGCTGCACGGGCCGGTCGTCCTCACAGGGGCTGCTCGGGGTTGAAGGTTCTACTCGAGTGTGTCTTCGGGAATCGGTGCCGACTTGGCATGCCCTAGAGCTGAAAGAAAACCCTCAAGGCTATTGCCATCGTAGAGGTGCCATGCGGTGCCCTCTCGGTGGCCAGTGCCCAACTTACCCCATGCTTACTGCTGTTCGCTATCAGCCCAGTAGTCGCAAGGCCCGCCTGGTCGAGGACGGAGATCTCGCTGTCGTCCACGCAGTGGCCACTGCCATCTCCTCGGCCTCACGCGAGGGCGGAGGCTGGACATGTGACAAGACATGACAACAAGTGTATCTAGAGGATTCAGACCTTGAAATAGAGGGGTTCGATCTGGTTAGGGAGATCAAGGCGCCTGCAGCCTCGCAGGCTTCTCGGACGGTGAGTTCGTCGTGGCCATAGCCATTGCTGGACCTGCAGTAGCGCTTGGCATTCTTAGCACACTTCAAACTGCATCGCAACTGACTTCACTATACCACCCGAGGCATTGGTTCCAACACACGGACACGGGAACATGATCTTGAGCGTCCCCCCATACCCAAGCCAAGCAACCCCTTCAAACTTCGCCTTCTGTACATGCGCGCGTGCGCACTATGCCACAAGTAGGTTCCTTGGCCTCGCTTGGGATCCCCGTCTCCGTACTTAGCTATACTACTCCTCCCGAAAGCCCGGCCAAAGGCAGTATCGAGCGCCGAACGCATAGGGCAGGGCCTCAGACAGTTTGCATGTCCACACCCTTTATAGACCAATCTCATTCAACAACCTTCGTACTGCATCTGCCATTAGAGGACATGGCAATGGCAAGGGCTAAGCCTGCTAAGCGGCAAAGTGGCAAAGCAAGCCGAAGACGTCGAATGCTTTATCGGCTGCCAAGGCCCCCGCCGCGGCAGCATATGCGCCACCGCCGTAAGCGCTGCCGCCATATGCATTACCTTGCGAAGCAAGAAAGAGCGCAGGGGAAGGAGTCAACTAAACATGGTGCAACTGTGGGTCCAGGGTGGGATACTAGGAGCGTACTCGGAGCATGGTGCAGATGTTATCTCAGCGCATTTGCCCCACTTTGCATCCTGGGCTGCGTGCCCCAGCTCCCCATTCTGCCTCGGCGGGCCTCGAGGCGTGGACACTGTAAGGCATTGTAAGGATAGGGAGTGCAGTTGGGCTGAAGGGTTTAGGCTTCATGGTTTTCAGCCATGTCGAGCTCAAGAGAGAAGCTGAAAATGCTGAAGTGCAGGCGATCCACCATTCGCGCTTGTAAGAGTCGCGGTGCGGACTTCAGCTACCAACTTTCGGGAACTCAATGCGATCGGTGCCTTCTGGCACGCAGCCAGCCGCTCCCTTGCCACCTCAGAACAACTCGAACATCCATGAGAGGGTTGTGCAGGGGTTCGGGCATGAATGGCGATGGCTTCGGTGCTAAGTTCTCTTGCGACTCTTGGTCAAGAGAACAGGTCACAACTCAGACCCAGGGACTGTTCTGCCGAGCGGCCCGTTTGCTGTGCCACTTGCCACTTACGGGGGGGACTTACCAATAACGCTGTCTGAGCCAGGAAGTATCAGAATGGTTCAGGTATGTTCAGGTATGTTCAGGTATGTTCAGGTACTGCACGGCTGCGTGAGTCGCATTCACTTGCAACTGACGCCGCTTCACCGCTGCCATCACACCTCCTCCTTGCTACAGCATAGCAACATGCGGCCAAACATGGCTGCATTAGTGTCAATGCCAGGGATGGGCTATGCGGGTGTCCGGATTTGCCCCTTTTCTATTCGTTCATCCTTCACTCAAGGCCGGTGACGCAAGGGACCCTTCAATGACGCGCTTCGTTTCGCTTCTGCAGCAGCGAAGGTTGAGATGGGCACTTGCCTTCCGCCCTCATCCAGCGCGACGCTTGGCCCTGACAATCCTGGCGTTCCAGGATTGCATCCGGGGAGGGTCCGCGATGTTGGGGCGACTGCTTCCTGCAAAACATGCTACAGCTTGCTCCTACAGCTGCCTATGTAGGGCCTATGATGCGTCAGTACGATGTCGAGGGGGGTCCTCATGTGATATAGCATATGGCTAGTGGGTGCAAGGCTTGGGTGCCAATCTCGCCAAATGTCCTCTACAAACCGAAACCTTGGAAAAAGCCAAGAGTGCCTGCGCTCGGTGCATCTGTCACTTTTTACAACAGGGCAGTCACGGCAGCTTCCTTCGAAAAAGCTTTGAAGGATTCTTCATAACACTTGGTATACCTTGATATCTTGACAGCTTCTTATGGCTTTATGGCTTTATGGCTCTTCTAGGCTCTTCCAGGCTCAGACGGCGGCGCGCTGCCAAGGCTGGCCTTCCACAAGAGAACGCAGGACTCGATGGTATCTCGAGATTTTTGGCCACAGAGACGTCATCAATTTACGTCACAAAGACGTCACAACTTGCACAACTGGCAGACACACTGGAATACACTGGACACATGGGGCCCACAGAGTTGATCCCTGCGCCTGCGCCTCTCCAGTGAGCCGCTGGACGCTTATGGGGTCAGACCCTTTTTCAGCGCCGCGATGGTGGAGGGCCCCGTCCTGCAGCAGCCCCCGATACCTGGTCTGGACACGCAGGAATGGCGATACACTAGCGACACGAAGTGGCTCGCTTCTGAGCGCCAACAAGCTGCACGTCGCCCCAAGCTTGAACCACTCACGGGCCATCTCCACAAACCTGTCAGCATCTGTCAGGCATATCCAGGTTTTCTGAGCCTGCTCATGCATCCCCAACTTCACCAAGGCACCGCTCGTCGGCCGTGGCGGTGCCCGTCTCCCAGGTGTGCGTCGTGCCATTCCTGAGCTTCTCAGCTTGAGAGCTGCGCGCAGGCTTTGAAGCTAGTCTGCCTGCTTGCGCGATGCCCAACATCTTTTCACAAACGTTCTCTCTAGACGCCAGCGGAAGGAAATAAACATTGACGTAGAAGCGAAGTTAGGCAATGAACGTGGGATCTTTTGTGGCCATGGGGTGTCGAGATCTCGGCCAGTTCGGGCTTCAGGCCAAAGAATCCACACCTCGCCGGAGTTGGGGTACACGACCACGCCTGGCATGCACAAGGCAACCGAGGGCGCCAATGGAAATCACAAGTCTCCGCTAAGCCGCCGCTACTTGAGCGCCTTTGACTTCTGGGAGACGTTTCAGCGCCCCACCCAAGCGATCGAGATGAGCGCCCGGGCCTTCCTTCCCGACCCGCTAAATTCTGTAAGGTTTGCGTGTGGTCAAAACCATTCAAAGGCCTAAGCAGACGAAGCCGAGACTTCACCCCCCCCCCCCAAGCATCCCAAGCATGTCAAACTCTCGGCCCGCGTGGCTCTTCTCGGGGGGAAGGGCTTTCCGGCAGCGCTGGACGAGGCCAGCCACGAAGTCCGGATGCGTGCAGTTCACACCGGCTCCTTAAGGGGTTCTTACCGGAAGCTTGGGGTGAAATTCTGGGAGGGAGGGGGGGGGGGGGTACTGCGGAAACATGCAGAAACTTTGCTCTGTATTTGCCTTTGTTGCTGCGGCTCTCGGTGGATTGCTATCCCTGGTGTTTTTAGATCGTTTATGCCGTTTAGGTCGGTCGTGAACGAGTTCGATTCCTGCGCACTTTTTGGAGAAAACGACAGACGACTCGAAAAAAAAAAAAAAAGCTGCCCCTCTCAAGCTCCAGGAGTCCAACCACCCAGTCGCAGGCGCCCACAACGGCCACGCAGTCCGCGATAGTGTCGCCCGAATGGACTTCACTGTCCGACCTTATGGGGCCGTTACAGAAAGGAAGGGGTGATGCAGCAAAACTTGGGAGAACAAGGTCCATCGCTTGACAAGAGGGATGAGGGTTGCCTGCTTAGTGTTTCTCCGTTGTACAGCTGACATGTTGAATGCAAGAGGCTGACAGTCGTGGGTCGTGCTGAGCAACCGCTGCCAACAAAAGGTCCGTTTCAAAAAGAGGCCTGTCGCTCGGGATCTAGCGCGCCTTGCTGCAGCACTACCACTACTGAACAGGGACAAGAGCAGAGCAGCAGAGCACCTCCTCGCGGAGAAAATCGAAAGCAGTTCTCCCGTGGCGGGTTCAGGCGCGTTGAGGGGCAGAGCGACTACAGAAGCGTGCTCAAGGGCAGTCAGCCCAAAGCCTAGCCACATGCACGCAAAACGGATAAACATAAAAAGCCAGAACAGGGCTTATATGAAGCACTGAGCTTTCCCCCCGTAAAGATGCGCAAAGCCTTCAGCCTTAAGACCCCAACCCCACCCCCCCTGCCCCGTTAGCCCGATCTCACCTCTGAAGGGAGTAGAGGGTGTATTGCGCATGCGCTTTTCCATGTGCACACACACACACTAACGTTTGCTCCAAGGGATGCCCTCCAGGAAGTATATCTTCATACTAACATATTGTCATACGATGACATATTCTTGTATGTTTTTAATTTTCCATTCTTAAGAGTGTTGCAATATTTTGCTGTGTTGCTATACTGTTCTATTATGATATTCTCACAGTACGATACTCATCTAGTGTATATTACTCTTTTCATACATTAGTGAATTGCTATATTATTCTATCATTATACTAAGATATTCCTAGAATAGTCCACTGTCATGTATACTATATTCTCACAGTACTATTTTTCTAAACTTTGAGATTACCATCATGTTTAAAAATAGCTGTTACGAAACTACTATATTATGTTCCTATACTCTTATGTTGTTATATTGGTATATCATGATATTATTGCATCAGTATACGAGTATATTTCATTATTATTACATTTTATATGTTCATACTTCTTGGTTTTGTATTTTATGACTTTATAAACTTATGATTCATATATCATTCATTCATGAACTATTATTCTAGTGTACCCCATGATGCTTCATGCCCCTGTCCGAAAGCTTTGAAACAGTCACGAAGGGCTGCACAGCGCTTCTCAGCCCTACTCAGTGCCGGGCTTGCAAGAAAAGGTCACCCAGGCTGGATGCTCCAGTTCCTCGCAACACTACACGGGATGCAAAGAGGCAGGTGACCAATCTGGGGGGTTTCCGAGAATCGGGGCACCTTACTGGGCTCCATTTCTAAGGGGATCCTACTATTTTGGGGGTCTGTATCAGGGGTCGCCTACTTTTTTTAACTCCCACCTCTGAAAAGGCGTAATCAGACGGGTGTGCTGGATAGAACCCCAAGCCGCGTTCAAGAGCCGAACCAGAGCGCGAGCTTCCAGAAGGCAAGGCCTGAGATGCTAAGCAAGCTGAACCTCTTTTTTTGACAGAAAACTGATCATAGTCCACTCACGTCATATGTTCAATGTAGAACAATATAGTAGTAGAACAAAAACCTAAGAATATAAGACTTATAAGATGATATAAGACTCTATTAAAAATTTACGAAGATAATCATATCATCACACATGAGTTCGTCTGTTTAGATGGTGTCAGGCGTAAGCCTGGCCTTAGGGGATGATTGGGTGTTCTGGGCTTAGACCATTGTAGGCTTTAAGGGCAGGCCATTGTTGCATTCTCTACAACACATTGCGAATACCACAAAAATGGGAGAGACCCCTGCCGAGGGGAGAAGGAAGCGGCGAAGCGCTCAAGAACGATTGAAAAGGTGAGAATAAAGTGTGCAAACAAGGGGTCAAACCCCTCCCTTTGTTTTCAAAGTGCGCCAGAGTCTCCGATTGCACTCACAAAAATACTGGTACAAAACACGACTGTCTGAGCCAAAAAAAAGTTCTACTCTGCTGTACGAATGCTTCTCTGAGCGAAGACGCACTGTCTCACACGCGAGGACGTCGCAGCCCGCATCGACCAAAGCCTGTCGCTCAATGTTGAGATATGGTGAACTGGTTGAGGTCTTGTGCGCCGTCTTCCATGCAGCGACCTGCCTACTCTGTTAGCCATCCATTGCCAGCTAAGTTTGGAGTTTCCACATCTCTGCCACTTTACAAGACACCTTGCCATGCCTCGGAACCCTGGAACATCAGCTCGGAAACCTCTCAACGTGCGTTTCCCCTTCCGCCCCGTCTTCACGGCCTTGGCTCGCGGCCGATGCCAGTCATGGAGGCTCGCCTCATCCATGCCTCGCTTCGATATGTAGGTGTGATGGCAGGGATTCGTCAGATACACGGGTGGGAAGCCTGTGCTCTCGACTATGCACAGCTCGCTGTCTGTACCCCCCTTATGAGTATCCTCCCAAGTCAAAACCGACGAGCTGCTATTGTCCCTGTGTGCACTGCGGCGTGACAGCAAGCTGTTCCATAGAACGTGGGTCGGAGCCAACAGCACCAAAGGAAACCCAGGCAAAGAGGGCAGGGGAACGCGAACATACCGGAACGAAGCGGAACAAGAGACCCAATTCCCCAGCCTGGGTAGTCGCCCGTGTACTCGGCGCCATTGTGCAGCCTCAGCTAGGCTGTCCTCACACCCGAAAGTGCCTAACTGTCGAAGCAGAACCTTCTCCCAGAATCCTTCGCTTCCCCTTTGAAGCCCTTCTTTGCTCTTTGGGGCCGCTGCGAGGCGCCGTAGCTGCCCACACTGCCCGCCACCAGCGCCCCCGGCGGGGCCACCTCGCCTGGGAAGTGGGCATGTGAGGCTCATTTAGACTGACTGGCATTCACGTCGACTTAAGTTATACGGGTTGAGGATGCCGCAGGGGATACTGCAAATCAACAACTTGCTTCAGGGGCATGCACGTTGCTGACAGCACCAGCCCCAGACCCTCATCCTGACTGCTTTATGCTCTAGAGGATGCACAGGCACATGGCGTCTGGAAACCCTAGCCATCCCTAGCCCATAAAGACACCCGGAGGATGCAGTAAATATGGTGCAACGCACGATGGAGCGACAGGGCTTGTCCTGCCATGCAGAGGTAGGTGTTGCATGTTGTTGCTTTCTGTTCCGTGACCTTGGGGTCCTCAGGAAATTGGTCAAGAGCGATGCAATGCACCACAGCACAATAACAATTGCGACCCAGTCTCGCGCCAGTTCGACGGAGCGTTTCACTGCTCTCAGCGCCTTCGACTCACATGTGCTCTACATTATGTTTACATTGAAAGATCGGCAGAAATGGAAAGCGAGGCGGACAAGAAACAGCGGGGAAAACAGAGCGGAGAATCGGAGGAAGAATCAACCAATCAAATCCGCCACAACCAATCATGGGGCCGGGCTTATCCCGTAAGATGACGACCCTTCATGTCTCTTTTTGACTTGTCTTGCAAGAAGTTGGCCTCTTCCTCGCCGACCCCGAGCTCCCGGAAGCCATCAAAGTGCGCCTTCAGCATGGGCATGGGATGTCGGGAGATGAACGGACGCGTAGCTCACACCAGGCGTCAACCTACGCGAGCCCACGCGAGCCCACGGCTTCGTCACCCCCCCCCCCCGCCTGGTAGGAGGCTGTGATCGCAACAGCGGCACCTCGTTTGCGCAGTATAAGGCTAAGGATGGCTAAGGATGGCTAAGGATGGCTAAGGATGGCCAAGAGCTCCAGATGGTGCCACAACGTGGTCCTCTGAGCAGCTGATCACTTCTACTGGCCCGGTAGTCTCAAGATATTCTGGCGACTTCCGCGGTCTGAAAGCCCCCCCATATGGGGGGCTCTCGTCACTCTTAGAAGTAGTCTGCTCTTACGGGAAGTTCTCCGAGTTGCGATCATACGTCAACTGGCGACATGCTCAGTTCAGGTAAGGCCCGTGCCGGCTGCGTAGTAGTCTGCGTGCGCCTGCTTGATGACCTGCAGCTTCCAGGCTTGTGTGACAGCCACTTGTATCTTGCATGCCTTGCGGACACCGCATCCGCAGACTCCATTCAACGACACATTTGCGCGCCGGATCAACTCCTCCTTAGAAAACCGCCCATGCAACACGCCCAAGTTTAACATGGCCGTCGCCAACAAGCTAACTGAGATCAAGTTCTTCAATGCCAAGTGCATCGGCATCTACAGCGCAGGACAGACTCGAGCGAACCTCGAATTCGGCACCTTTTGTTCAAGGCACAGCAACGATCCCACAAACCCAACTAAAGAAAACCTTGATCCCCAACCATCCACTCAAACTGAGGTGCATCCAGTACGATACCAATGTGATTCCAAACAATACCCTTTACCTTCACCATCCAGAGCCCTTCAGAACAGTGGGATGCTTCAGAATGTGAGGCTGGGCGCCCTGCTCCAGGGTTCTTCACGAGGCAGCGGGCAGACCACAGCGAGTGGTCAATGTCTTCACCCAGCCTGTGATGGTAACTTGAGCCCACTTGGAAGATCTCCACCCAGCATCGTTTGAAAAGCTACAGTACGCTCCTGCGCGTCTTCTGCTTGAGCACTAACTTCAAACTCAGGCCCAATGCCGTCAAGGGAGCGTCTCGATATGCGTCGCAAGACCTCCTTGGCTAGAATTTGGCAATTATTCTAGCGCCTGGCTTCGAACTTCGGGTTCTCTTTCTGGTATTGACATCGCAGGCCAAACTGCTGCATGCCCAAGTGGCCATCCAGTATGAGAACTTTGCTCATCCCGCGACAGGTCGCCAGTGGGTCGAATGACCCCTTCCGTGGCCGCTTTGGATCCGGCGCAGCCGACTCTGCCATGGCAGCCACTGCTGCAAGTTCTGTGGTAGCTGATTGCATGAAACGCGCTTTCTGCATCAGGGCTGTTCACAAGACGTTAAGTTTGTACTCTGTGTGTGTGTTGATTTGCAAGCACGTCTCGATGCTGCCGCAAGTTGAAGATGTGGTATGGAATGTTGTTGTACTTTTCAGATCTTTTCAAGTCACAGCGGTCGACCTTCAGACTCCAATCGATCGGAGATTACAAACGATCGAAAAACAAATCGTAGTTTGAGAATGTCACAAAAGATCAGCATTATACGACAACACAGGTTGCCCATGGTTGGCCCATTCATGGTGGATAACTTGTCCAAGTCCAAGTACATAGCGCCCTCTGCTGGCCTGCGTCCTGGTGGTGGGCCAGTGGGGTTGGGCTGTGCCTTGGCTCGGACATGTCCAAAGCAAAGGAGTCAATCCTGACCACGAACGAAACCCACCTCGCAGCTGATGAAGCACAACGTGCGGGTGCAACTGTGGCACTAAACTCCCTAGGCACCGCACAAAGAGGTTTCCGCCAGCAGCCTGTTCAAGGAGACAAACAGGCTTTGTCATGCTCGGCATCGGGGTTGACTTCCATACAGTATCTTTGAAACATAGGCTGATCGTGCAGGCGAAACCCTCACACAATCCATGACACTTCCCAGCGACAAACCCATGAAAACACACAAAATGAAAGAGGCTCGGCATTCCCAAGTGCGTTTCAAACTCGGAGAGGTGCCTGCGGTGCAGGGCCGAAGCCGCCGCCACCTTTACACGTGGTGCCACCGACGCAGCTACCACGCTGTAACCGGGACCCACATCGGCGCAAGGAACGCCCAAATGACACGCTGCAGTCGGCAAGGCCTGGCGCTGACCCGAAGCCACCGAAGCCACCTGGTGCTGCCTTAGGCAAGGGCTCCCGTCCAGGATTTCAGAAGTTGTAGGGATACATGGGGATACCTTGGCATGAGTTCCCTCTCAGCATATTCCTGATGCACTCAGCAGCACAGCCCACCAACCGGGGAGGCCGCCCCACCGGGCTGGCCGAAACCTGCCGCACGCTCCGAAAAAACTACAATCTGGAAGCAAAAAAGGAGAACACACACCGCCGAAGTGCCTGCGCCAGGAGTCGAGAAGGCTTGTGGGCCACCTGGGCCACCCGGGCCACCCGGGCCACCTGGGCCAGCAAAGCCCACGAAGGGCCACCCAGGGTTTCGCTAAGGAACTGCGAGGGAGCCACACAGGGCCAGAGCGTTCTTAAACAACCTTGGCTGCAGACCTCCAAATGGCGAGCCACCGAAGCCAGGATTCGCACCTGTTTTCAAGTTCACAGTCCACTCCAGAAGTCGACAAGGCAGCCAAGGCATGAAACCCCGCCAAACCCGGCACGTCGGGCCTGGAGCCGGCTGTCCTGCCCATGGCAGCACTATGGCAGCAAAAGCTGCTCTGAGTGCCTGCTTTGAGTGCCTGCTGAAGCCTACAGCCGTCACAACCCACCAGCGCCTTGCGGCTGTGCTGGGCCTCCGAACATGAATGGGTTGCCACCTCGGTGCGGGAGTTGCTCCTTGTCACGAAAAGAGGTCTTCAGAAACACCGACGAAGGACGTTGCTTTGCGGCTGTGCCGAGATATCACAACTAAACACACAAGCAGCCGCAACCTCTGGAGTTGCTGAATTGAGCTTAGGCCGGCACCGCCAGGACCCGCCTGTGGTGCCTGTCCAAACATCGGGGCACCTGCGCATGTCTCACGCAATCGCTTTGAGGTAACACACGCCACTCCTTCCCTCACTCTGCCTCCGCTGCAGGGAGCGCTCTGTGGTGCTGGTGCCCCAAACTGGAACATACTGCCGCCGGCTGGTGCAGCGCCTCTCAGCAATTGCTCACGCATTGAGATTGTTGCGAGTTCTCCCCGATCCTTGTGCCGGTGACCCGAAGATGTTGCCACCACCTGCAGAGGTCAGACACGGATTCAGGGCACAAAAACCGTGGATTCAGGAGGGAAACTGCAGATTCGCGAAACTGGAAAATGCGGGTTCGGGAAAACGAAGATTCGGGAACTGGAAACCGTGGATTCGTTAAAGTTGCCTAAATGGGGCATGAACGCGGGTGACATTATATCAGCCCCCCGCCCCACCCTTGACTGAGGCAACTTCCTGAATCGCATTTCCTCAACCGCGTGGTTTCCGGAATCGAGTGAAACCAGTCTCCGCTTCGTGGATCGCATGGCTTTATGTCGCGCAGCTTCCTGACTCGCGTGAAGCTAACCTCCTGGATCGGACAATTTGCTGCATCGCCGAATTCCTGAATCCTGATTTCCAAAACCGCTTCCAGTTTCTGAATTGCTTAGAGTCAGGACAAACAACTTGTGAAGTGTTCCTGCGGTACCGGTCACGTGCTGATGTGCCAAGCTCCAAAAGGGTCTGACCAATCCGTTTCAACCCTCAGCCAGGCCTACGCCTGAAGATTGCCCGAAGACACCACCGCCTTCCATAAGCTTGAAAGCTCACGCCCACATGACAACAAGCAAAGTTCTTTCTGGCATGAGTTCTGTATGGCTAGTTTTGTTGGATGAAATTTCTGATTCATACTTCGCCTGTTGCCGGCGGAAGTTTCTGGTTTTCATCTCTGGCGTTCGGTCTTGGATCTACGGCTAATACATGTTCACCTGAAAACCCTTCATACCTCCGAAGCCCGACATAATTACCCTGAAAACATCCTAAGACTTCAATACCCCTAAACCCTAAAAGCCCTGAAGCCTCAACAGCCCTAAATACCCTCAACCCCCTCCCCCCTTCCCCCCTCCCTCCTATATGATGGAATCAATAGCTTGCTACGCCAACATTAAACAAACTCAATCCTAGCTTTGCTAGCTTCCGCCGGGACTTCCGAACTGCTTTTCGGGTCCTCCACCACCCCCGAAGATGTTGCCACCACCCGCTTGGCCAAAGACATTCCTGACACGGATTTCGTTCAGAGTCGTATGCATGATAGGAGCTCCGCACGTCGTGCTCGTGAGTGGGAAATCTCAAACCCCCAAACAACCGATAGCAGTTGCCAGCTAGACCTTCTGACCAAACTGTGCCGAACGAAGGGCAAAATTCTGCCAGGATTCCCAGTACTCGCAGAACCTGCCGGGCTCGGGGCTGCACCGAATAGCCCGCCGGAGGAGGCACCAAAGATGTTGCCTCCCTGAGAGCTGCCACTGGAAGGACCAAAAAGACCACCTGCACTAGAAACAGCTGGCTGCGCTGGCTGTGGCTGGCCGAAGATGTTGGACCCTGAGCTTGGAGCCCCGAATATGCCTCCACCCGCTGCGGACGCCGGGGTGCCAAAGATGCTGCCGGAACTGCTCGGCGCGCTCGTCGGCGCGCTCGTCGGCGGTGCTCCGAAAATGTTTCCTTGCTGAGGAGCCCCAACTGCCCCAAGAGATCCAAAGATGCTGCCGGAGCTGGGGCTGCCAGTAGGAGCGCCGGGTGCTGCAGGCGCTGCGGGTGCTGCAGGCTGGGCTCCAAAGATGCCACCCGAACTTGCCGGGGCTGCACCGAAGATGCCGCCCGTGGTGGCAGGCTGTGGGGCACCGAAAAGGCCACCGGAGCTCGGACCGCTAATTGACGGGGTGGAACCGAAGATGCCACCAGAACTTGGGGCGATGGCTGGCTGAGTCGCCCCGAAAATGTTGCCGCTGGCTGGTTGCGCTCCGAAAATGCTGGAAGAGCTAGGCTCGCTTGGTGGTGGGGCTGCACCAAAGATGTTGCCACTGCTTGGAGCGCTTGGAGGAGCGCTTGGAGGAGCGCTTGGAGCGCTTGGAGCGCTTGTTGGCTGAGCCCCGAACAGGCTCCCTGAGCTCGGACTGCTTGCTGGTTGGGTGGCACCAAAGATGCTGCCTGTGTTTGGCTCAGATGAGCCAAAAATACTGCCACCAGAAGTTGCAGCACCAAAAATACCGCCTGCTGAGCTTGGTATGGCACCGAAGATGTTGGAACTTGCACTTCCAGAACTCTGTGAGCTTTGCGATGCAGGTGCCAGGACGTTCGCGGCTGCTTCAGCACCAAAGATGCTCCCACCTGATTTTCGAACATGCACTGCCTAACCACACACGCGCACGAACGATGGAGGCAAGCACGGGACGCAGGCAGACATCTAAGCACAGGCACGTAGGCACACAGGCACACAGGCACACACGCGTGCGCGCGCGCGCGCACGCATACACAGAGACAGGCAACCACACACTCACGGGCTCCTCCGATGTCTGATTTCTTTTCATTTCTAACCGACGTGCAACTGTTCTGGGCAGGACAATCGAAGTGGTTACAAACAACTGTGATATACAGCTGCTCTAAACATCACGCCAACTGGTTCGAAGCTACAGGTACTATGTCTTGAAGTCAACTCTCAGCTACTCAAAAGCACGTGCGCAACTCCGCCAAAGTCGTGGACAAGCCGCTGCCTGGCGCAAAGATGCTGCCACCAGTGCTGGCAGGTTGTGGTTCCGCGGCTCCAAACTGGAAAATGCTGGAGCTGGCAGTGCTTTGTCCGCTAGTACTGGCCCCAGAGGTACCTGCACTGGCGGCGCCTTCAAATATGCTGGGAGGAGATGTGGCGCCGCCCGTGTTGGGAGCACCGAACATGAAAATGCCACCTGAACTCGGTGCGTCTGCCACTGCACTGGCGCCACCCGAGTTTCCGAAGATGCTGCCGGAGCTGCTGCTGCTGCTGCTGGGAGCCACATCGAAGATGCTGGCTGCTGGCTTCCCAAGCCCCTCGGAGGTGGCTGGCTTGGCAGCAGCGAAGAGGCCTTCGGAATCGATTCCAGAAACCCAGACCAATCACCAAAAAGCGATTGCAGACACCGAGGTAACAGCATGCATGCATGCATGCATGCATGCCTCTGCTCAAGTTCCTCTCAAAGAAACAGTTGGAAGCATAAGCCGTGTGTTTGCTAGTGTTGTGGAGCTTGGGTTTGCATAGAAGTTGTGCTTGGGTCATCGCAGGGCTCAGGGGTAGCCGCGTAGCCTCTGCTTGGGTCAAGTGCGGTTTCAGAAAGGTTTGACATCCTAAAGACGTCCTATGCTGAAGTCTCCAGACTCGCACCCCACCGCAGGACACAGGGCTTCAAGGTGAGACCCTCGCCTAGGTCACCTGCACAATTTTGTCAATGCTTCGGCCCCGACCAACTTTTGCGCATTTCCATAGCCCTGGCTCCCTCGCCCTAGCCCTGGACCTGATGTCACAACATTGCATGCAAGGCTGTCATCTGACAAAGCCTGCAGAATTTTACAATTCCCAATCAAGAATGTTGGAAGTCAATGCTTGTTTGAACAGTGAAGCTGATAAACTGGATGCGTACCGTGCCCTGCGGGCTTAGGCAGACGGATTGGCGCTGCATCATGCAGAGCTAGATAAATGAAGTTGCTGATGTATGTGCACCAAAGTCATAAGACCTGTCAACAAAAATTGTCCGAAGGTGGACAGCGCAGTTTGTTCAACCCAACACCTAGCCTGACAGGTCCGCGCCGGACGTCGAGCCGGAGCTTGGCGCACTGCCCCCGAAGAGGGAAGTGCCTTCACGGTGCCATGGTGAGGGCTGAAAGTTTAGGGTTTAGGGGTGAAGGTTTAGGGTTTAGGGTGCTTCCCCAAATAGCGGCAATCAGGCAAGTGTAAAACCAGTAACTCACATGTATACACCCTGCCAGACCCTGCCTCCAAACAGTGCGCCACTGGAGGAGGCACCGCCCGCTGTGGTACCAATCAGCCCCGCGCCCGCGGTTGATGCAGCGCCTCCCAAATCAAGGCACCAACCTCTCACTTCCCTCTGCCAACCTGTTTGCCTGTCCCCTCAAACAACGTGCAGCTCAGTGGACTGCAGCGCGGTAGTGATCGGCACTGTGGCTGTGGTTCATACGGAACATTTCGGGCATTTGGGGCGCGGGAACACAGACTGGAATACTCCGTTGCGCATCTTTGGACACAGTAAAGACTGGAAAAGTCTCATCGCAGTCTCCACTGCAACCATCAGGCTTCATAGATGCTCCACAGTCCGCACTGAGCGCCAATCAGCAGAATCAGAAGTGTGGTGCAGACTGCCTTTATCCTCGTCGTCAAAGGCGTTGTCTTTGAAGCAGGCGCCATCCTGACATCAGCGGCCCATCGTCTCCGAAACCCTGCCATGCGGGGCTACTTCCTCGTCCGCATTGTCCGCATCCTCTTCCCCACGGGTGGCCCACATCACCTTGTACAGGAGGGCACAGATTTGTACATAAGAGATTTGATATAAAGCCCTTTGGACACGACGGCCCTGCCTTGGGGTCCAACTCATAGGTGCGGCAAACCTCCACAGGCTGCCGTAAACAAGCGCTTCAACCGCTCTTCACCATGCAGTGGGCTCCAAGACTGGCATACACGAGGCCTTCGCGTAGAGATGCGAGAGCGGAGTTCCATTTGCCTGACAAAATTGCCACAAAGCCCGCACAAGCCATCCTCGTGACGCCACACACCTGTAAGATCCAAGACTTGCCGGGGAAGGAGGGCTTTGCTCGGGATGGCCTTGTACTTAGCAATGAACTCCGGCACCTTCGACAAGAGCTTCCTGCCAAGGCACTCATGATCCGCGACCAGCAGCTAATGCGTGCCAACACAGGTAAAAACTTGTTCCTAGCTCAGAGCTGCTCCGAAATCGAGCCAGGCTTGCGGATTCTTGCGCCGGTAGACGGCCTCGATGTTTACCTTCCACAAGGTCTCCGGATCCTTGACCTCGATGGCACCTGCCTCGACGTCGCCGCCGCCGCCCTTTAAGGCCTTTGAGGAAGCCTTTGAAGAGGCCTTTTCTGCTTCCGAGCCCTCTGGCGAATTGTCAGACTCCTCAGACTCTGCATCCGCCGGTGGACTCGCCCGTGACCAGTGGGAGCCCACGGAGCCACCGCCCGGTCTGCTCCGTCTGCTCGGTCTGCTCGCTTCTCGGAAGGGCTCCTTGCTTCCTGAAGCAAGCGAGGCTCCTTCACACCCTGTTTATACAGTAGCAGACATTAGCACACCACACAAACATCACGCATCTCGCATCGTCTTGCAGCCAAAGAAGTAAGCAACCAGCCGGGCTTCGTCGGCTTTGAGAACAGCGAACCTGGAAGTGACAATGCTGATTCGCTCACACGTGCGCAGGAAAGCCTTGTCGATTCTGGCTGAAAAAGCTCTGCTCACATATGCACGCACCAGGACTAACCAAGCACGAGGATGCGGAACGACGAAACTTTGACTGCCGAATACTGCCGAGAGCTGTCAGCAAGCATGAATGCAGGCTAGCATCGGCCAATCATGTCGGGCTTCGGTGGCGCGAGCAACCTGCCACAGGTCGCAGAAGGGAAAATTGTCAGGCGATCAGTGCGATCGATCCATGAAAGGACCTCTAATGCCCCGCTGGGAGTCTTGGGTTTCAGACATGACCGAACGATTTCAACAAGTGGCACATTGGGGTTAACCACCCATAACATGTACAACTTAGCACACCTTCCACAGCTTCTAATTCGCTTTATTCGCTGAGTCTGCCCGAACACAAACTTCTCCGATGACCAAGGACTACGAAAGGTCAACCTTTATACTTCCCGCTGAATAAGGAAGCCAACTATTGGCTAAGTAAGCAAAGCTCGAGCTCCTACAACTATATCCTGCAACTATAGAAGCCTTCAACCTTCAAGCCCGAAAGCCTCTCAAAAATCCGTCTGTTTGATGTCAACTTGAACCCCTCAGCCTCAGCCTTTACGCACGTCTCAACAAGCACCAAAGCGTGCGTGGCGTGGCGGCTTCGAGTACCACGAGCCAGTGCGCCGGCGCTTTGCATCGGCAACAGGCCACTCCCTGTCGGACTGTGAAGTCTGCGACGTTGCGACATACTTCGACTGCCCTCTTGGGGGTAATGGGAGTCAAATGCTCCTGTAATGCGTAGCAGCAGGCGTACTCAGTGTACTCCCACCCCAAACGGTAGCCTGCTCAACGCATGATGGTTCACCTAGGAACACACACCTTTCAGAACTACTCAGTAGCATTGGCCAAGGGAACAACAAGAAAGTCGGGCTGGTGGGGCAAGTAGGGACTCAAAGTAGGGCATGTGGGGCCAAGATGGGCAAGGCCACTCAGGTTGGTTCCAGTTGTGGACGCAAGAGATCTTGAGGTCGGAAACACACAAAGGGTTCCATCTTGAACCACGAACAACCAATAACAACTAACAACTACCCCACTAGTAGTACTTGCGAAGCAACTAAATAAAAGATACGATGCCATGCTTCTGCTGCACTTCTGCAGCAGAGGTTCGTTGGTGTGTTAACATGTGGTGACTTGAGGTTCCGTCTTGTCCAAGTTGCCACGGGGAACACAGAACTGCTCTTAGAGCTAGGTCAGCCAAAACTTCAAATGACGCTTCAGGAGCAGCAGCGAGCCTCACCCGCTTCGCCCGGCCTACCTGCAAAGATTCGCAAAGCTTTGTGTTTGGGGGCTCTGGCTCTGACTGAAACATGCCTCTAAAGACAGCCTAACACTATTCGCATACTGAGGCCGCAGCGCCACCTTCGCCTGATTTTGGCAAGCTAAGAATGCAAAGAATGTCGATTCCAGACTGGGCAGTCAAAACCTCACGCTTCGTTGTGCTCACGTGCCACATGCGCACTCTCGATCTCATGGACCCACACGATTCAAAGCCCTACAGAGGGCCCAGCCACTGAAGACGGCATCAGCAAGGCCGAGGGACGTCAGAGGCCGCGCAAGCCTGATGAAGGGGAAGCCGAGGAAAACATGTCTGAGGCGTGGGGATGGGCTGCAGGGCTGGAGTTCGAGGAAGAGCAATGGGCTACGAGCGTCGAGAGTATGAGGTTTTTTGGTGCGGCTTGCTGTGGCACCAGAGCTTGTCACGGCGAGTCTCCACAACTGTCAAGGCTGGCCCAACTTTGAAACATATACTGAGAACTTACTGAGAATCCTCTGGCCTCCCAAGTCCTTTCCTTGCATCCGTAACTCGAAAACATTCCAAAACATTCCAGACTTACTCAGATAGTGTCCAATCCGAAACATGCACGCAGGACCATGACTCACCGGGCAGTGGCGTCCATTTCTGCCTCGGGCAGTCCACTCTTTCTGGCGGGTTTGGCAGCGGTTTATGTTTGCTGTCACTATGCTGTGATGTTGAAGAGCTGGAGCGGTGTGGCTGAAATTTACACGCTAAATTAACATAAATATTGACATTGGGCCAGGGAAAGGGCCGCATGTCACACATTTCCTTGACGTCTTTCTCGCAGGAAGCAAAGGACTAGTCAGCACGGACGACAAATGCAAACATGACCGATGCCGTTGGTACACTACCCTCTTTTACAGCAGCCTTGCATTCATGGAAATATCGAGCAGTTGAAAACTGATTTAGCTTCCAACAGCTGCTGCCAGCGTGGGACGGCCACCTCTGCCAGGCTCGAATTGTGTAGAAGGCTGGTGGTACAACCGAATCTCAGCTGATCCACCGGCCTCCACACGAGCCATCATCAATGCATAGCATGACCAACACCTACACCAATCCCTACAGTGTCCTGCTTATGCCTTGTTGCAATGGGTGTGTCTACACCAACTGTAGAACCGTAACCGCGAAAGTGTATGCTATCCATCTCGTGATAGCACTGGTTAGCTATCAGCTTCACATGAGTTCCAAGCTGGATGCTAGGGCCGCCAAGTGCCACTGCTGCTCCGAGATGCTCCGAGCATGTGCGTGAAATGCAAGGACAACCCATCTCGACAACTTTTTTTGCTTAACGATGCAATCGGGTCCAAGCCCTCCATTCGAAGGGAAACCCGGTGGATATGTACACATGGAGTGTCCGGACTCATCTTGAGTCTTGAGCTGACACCCATCAATGAACCGGTGGCCTACACCTCGGGAGAGTCCCAGATTTAGGTTTTAAAAACCTTTAGATTTTGGACTCATCTGGACTTCACATGTGAACCTCGTGTGCGATGAGAAAGAGCGCTGCGGAAAGAATTACTGGACATCCAGGTAATCTCCGGGTGGAGCCCACGTGCCACAGCATGCCACAGCCTAGCTGCTTCCACACAACTGTTAGCTTGCGCTGTCTTAGCCCACCCAGCTTGGTGCTTGTGCTGACAGAAACCCTCTGCATCACGTGCTGTTGTAGTGTACCAATCTGTGACAGTATCTTGTGTTTACGCAGCGACAACAGCAACTGGCCTCCGTGTGCTCCACTCAAGCTGAGGCAGACTTTGGTCGCCTGTCACAGATGTGGCGCAGTCTCAGGCAATGGACGGCAGGAGTACGGACATTGCTTTAAAACCGATATGGACGACGGTGACCAAAATCCTCTACAACAGTTCAGACCCAGATCGAGAACGATTCCATGCATCTTGATTCTGCTGCACCGTCGGGTGTTCAGGACTCATCATCTACAGCGGAGGAGGCTTGAGGCTTTTCGCACACGCGCGCGCCTTCCGACTGGCATCGATGCAGACCGCCGCATCTTGCGGCAGCCGCTGTCCTTCGGCCAGACCGATGCACAACCTCCCGCCCCGCATCGCAATCAGGGGCCTACATCGGGCTAGAAGCGCTAGGCCATGCTAGGCTCCAAGGAAGTAGCTCTCGTGCGACTGTGTCCGCTCTGACCCAAGGCCTGCTTCGTGGTGGGCCTGGCGGCCTTGGCCAGAACCTTTGCAAAGCGCACCGCAACAAAAAAAAGTTGCGAAGGTCACGAGGTCACGTACTTTCAGCATTCCACTCAGCAGTTGAACCTCCACTGCATGAAGCCCTGATGCGAAACAAGAACGCCACTGCTGGACTGTTCATCGGCTCACCTGCTCCATGTCCTGCACAGAACCACCCAGAGAGGTCCAGGTCCGCCGTTGCCTCTCACATCGGCCACTTTAGGCTTCCACAACCACTTCACAGCTCAGCTCAGTGACCGAGCTCCCTAGCCCGCGTGTCAGTCATGAATCTGATGATACTAAGAGGGGGCGTGACCTTCGGCCTTCCTGCCAACTGCCGGGCCTCGCAGCAAGTCGGCCCACGCTGCAGTCGTGGCGCTGCATCATGAGTTGATGCGCACCTGCAAAACATGCACCACGGAGCTCATGCCAAACCCTTCCTCGCCCTTACCACAAACTCAAGTCCTGTAGCTGTTGGCCGGAGGCTTGCAACTTTTTGTAACCCCTCGCTGGACGGCTGGGCGGTTAGGCACAGAGCACAGAGCACTTCCCGGTTGTTCTTGACAGGTTTCGAGAGATCGCCGAAGCGCTGTCGTGTCGATTTTTGTGCAGAAACAATTCGATTTAGCTTCCACCTGCGAAGATGAGTTTAGAAGTCCCAGGTCCTAGGATTGCCCTGTGAACCCTCTGAAAAAATTCTCAAGTAAGATCCTCTTAAAGCCAACAAGGAATTCTGTGGGTGACCCTCGACCCTTAAACCTCGATGTCACAGCTATACACCCGGCAAAAAGCGAAAATACGAAGAGCGACAGCCTGCAGACGCACCACTCTTCTTCTCGCAGCTTTCGCAAATGTGGCTTGATGCTCCTCCTACTGGTCATCTCCACTTCTAAGTCGAAGCGAAACTTCAATGCAGGAGCACATCGACAGGGAACATTTCTATTCCTTGATAAGTCTTGTGTGGGGGCGTGACAGCCCGAGTGTGGCAACTTCATGAATTGTTGTTGTTAGCTGGCGTTCTCGACAACACGTTTCAAAGGCTAAGATTAAATCCGCGGAACATCTGCAGTGACACACTCAGTTGTCTCAGGGCAGAGAAGCATTTTCAGGTACGTTAAGTTGTTCCTCGCCCTTTTGCTATACAAAGCCCTGGGCCCTGTCAAAATAAACGCCTTCATGGCGCCAAGGTACTGGTATGAGCTCAGAGGGATGGAAACTGTGGTTCCGCAGCATGTGCCAGCGTGTGCTCTTTTGCACTCCCTGCGAAACTGTAAAAGCAAATTGAAACCGTGAAAAGATTCCAGTGCGAAAGAGCCGCACTTCTAGTCGAATCCATGGAGGAGGAAGGTGAAGCCGCACGATCTGGCACAAAGAGCTTTGCCTGAACTTCGGGGCCAAGCTCTCAGATCTCATGATGCACATCGCTTGTTGCCCTCTTGCGGCCCACAAACATTCCCTGAATGATCTTGCCTTCCTTGGCAAGCTGTGCCATGAACTCGAAGTCGGCGATCAACTTGTTGTAAGCTTCTTCATCCCAGTTCAACAACTTCTTGGCATCATAGACGGCCTGCAACTTCAGCATGTGCAAATAGCTGTTCATGGC